GGCAGATTAAGGGGAACTGATATCTAAGAGTGTGTGACATTTGGTGCATCTTAATTGAATTACGGGGACAGTTTAGCCTTGGCAGAGGTATGCGCTCTACGGAGTGCCGTTGTAGTTTTAGAAGTAATCAGTAACAAGAGGGGAATTGGTCCACTGATCCAATCATAGTGGGCAGTTAACATTAGACCCCGCCCCCTGCAGTTGTAGTCAAAGAAACAACTCAAATGGATTCAGACGAGAATACAGCTGAGACTCGGCTATAATGATGTAGGACACTGCTGCATTGGTGAATAGGCTACACTTTGCTTTCACTTTTATTCTTAATACTTAAAAGTATTTTTCAAGCAGGGTATTGCTTACTTTTACTCAAGTACAAAAATGAATGTGGTACTTTGGCTTGAGTAACTGCAAATGTTTGAGTTCTTCCTCAACCAATGTGTCTTTCACAACTGAATTTCCATCTCGTGTTACAGAAAAATTTGATTTAATTGCCACAGGCATTGGAAATGCAGTATGCTGTATATGGCACTGTATGGGGGCTTTATGTTAACTCACTGAGCCATGGCATTAAGTTCTGCTGCAGGCACAGCGTCGCACATAGTGCACATAAACTGATTAGCCAACAAAAGCAAATTTACTGCAGACAATCAACGCAGCATTGTGATAATGCTTAGAGTGGGTGAGGTTGTGCCAAAGCCTTCCCACTGATCTATGATTTAGTTGCAGCAAAGTGTGAGATTCAAGAAATTAAAGGTGAAGGTTTTAAGAATCAGGAACATTACTGAATTGCTTTTTCTGTAGAAAAGAAATATCCATTCTGTATCATTAGACAAGCATGTGCAAGTATACCCCTTAGCAGAGTTCACATATGGAGCACATATGTTCCAGATCATCCTGCATATACATCTACAGCATCTTTATGAACGCACACACACACGTACCACGTCAACCACATGAAAACAACCAAAAACTGACAATATTAGAGGGTTGAACATGGGCTGGACAAGAGTGTGTGTGGCTCGTGACCAGATAAAGAACAGGCACAGGGTGGGAGCATGTGTGTGTCCTATAAATTCAGGGTAAAGATTAAATATAGCTTTCATCCTGCTTTTTACCTTTTAGCCTAGTCATATTCATGTGGAAATCAGATTATTTTACTATTTATAGTTTTTCTCCCAAATAATTTGGGTAATTTTTGCTGAGATTTAATTTGATTGTGTATAAAGATGGACGATGCATCACTGCTTCCTCCCACTATGTAGAATGAAAAATTCATGCCAAACACTGACATTTTGCACATTTGGAGAGTCTGTTCAGTATTTCTATCAGGGGATGGAGCACAGTAGCGCACTCGACCAATCGTGAGTCAGTCTCAGCTGTTAATCATGAAATTTCACCTTACAAATTAAAACCAAACAAAAATTTGCACTTGAACAAACATCCGTGTGATGAGAAATACCTGAAATGACAAAAAACTTTTTTTTTTAAATTTATTTAACACATATTTTGACTTTTTTTTTCTCGATCAAGATGCTTTGGCTTCACTTGGGGGGAGCAGCCATCTTTATATCTATATAGCTTCCAGGCTTAAGCTAAGCTAAGCTACCCAGCGTCATAGTGAAGCTTAAGATTTAGTTCACAGGTATGAGTGATATCGATCCCAACCCCTTCTTCAACAAACAAGAGTTTTATTTGCTCTGGGAAAAGAGAGTAAGATAGTTCCTCAAACTTTGAAGAAATTCTTCACATGTCAGAAGAACAGATTACATGTCTTGTTGAGCTGGACATTCATGTATTTTTATCCAGCCGAGGAGCAAGCCAGTAATCCATTTTTAGTCCTGAACTGAAGTTTAAGAAGAGCTGGGTTACAGGAGCAGCAGGTTTACACAGGGGCGGAGTGAATGTAATTAGAAAGCTGCCATATGTCAGCCTTGTGATCAGTTATACAGCGAGGGAGCGGTCCGATTATAATGAGCATGTACCGAGAGCGATGATGAAAGGGCTTGGGTTGAATATGTGGACTGGAGGAGTGTATTCTCTTCGACATACTGTACCATTCTGATTTCTTCCAAAATGCTCAAGCATTTCTTCTGCGCTCTTCACCTTAACTCTCTCTTTCTCTATGCACTCTCTCACACACTTCTGTCATGGCTTCACTTCTCATCATCTGTTGCTTTATCTCTCTCTCTCTTTGTCTGCATCTCTCCCTCTCCCCATGTCTGGTGCACACTGTCTGCATTTTAGATGTGCTTCCCATCTTTTTTGAAATTGGGAAACCGAATCATCCTCTCTTTTTTTACACCACTCCTCCCATCCCATCTCTCTCTTCTCTCCCGCCTCAAATAATTCAAAACGTGCTCTGCATCTTCCTCGGCACCCACGCTGAGCTAACTGACTGAACCTGGGTCTGCACAGAGGGGAGAATATTTGAAAGGACAGTGAGTGAAGCTGCAGCGGTGGTGGCAGACAAGCTGTGCCCTGGCACTGAATTGGAAGGAACATTTCGGGAGCCACTTGGATATACTGTCGCATTTGCTCTCAAGCAGCCACACACACACACACACACACACAAACACACACACACAGGCACACACACACACAGGCACACTCTTGCACACTGAGTGGTGGTTTGGAGACAGTGTGGGCGTGCATACGCCTCCGTTTCCCAAAATAACCGCCAGATGAGGGGCACAGAGGCAGGGCGAGGTTGGTACAGGGAGATATAAATGGATGCTAATTGTATGGCTCCTCCAGATTACACTCAAATCCTGCAGTCGTATACACAAACATGTGTGAGTCCGTGTTTAGTATGCGTGTGTACATGATTCTGCTAGTATATGAGAGTGTGTAAGATCAGCTTTTGTCACTCACACACGCACAGCCTCTTACGCACGGTGGTTTTATGGCTTAAGTTGGTGCATACATGGCTTGACTTTGCCACACACACACGCACGCACACACAGATTAAAATGGATAATAATTGCATGGTTCTCAAACTGCATCCAAATCCAACCAAAAGGAGAACTCCAGTGTATTATCTCTATAATCCCTCCATAAATACAGTTCAAAAGAAGCAACTCTCAACAATGATCTTCAAGAGCTGCTTCATGCATACGTCAGTGTATGAAAGGCTGACTGTGCAAACTTTGCACTACATGTTAGTCTAAGCTTAGAAACTCACATTTGTTCCATTTGGATGCACTGAATTAGAAAAAGCCCTTTGACATTGAATACATCACAGCATTGTTTCAATGACTGACTTTGCCAAATTAATTCAGTTTATTTCTAGTGTCTAATATAATAGGGGGAGAGAGCAGAATGACATTGGGGAGGTGAAGAACAGGCTCTGGATTAAAAATGTTAGATAATTACATGGCTGAGTCTCCTGTGTTGACGTGAGGAAAGTGCAAGAGAGCAAAGCAAAGCACATACCCATACAGTGCTGCTTTACTGTAACGGTTCTGTATAAAGAAGAGGAATGTAACCCATTAATCAGCTTTTCAGGGGATGAGAAACACTTTTTTCTGATGATGTCACAATGCAATTTTCATGCCTGACACTATGACACGTTTTTGCAGCAATAATGCTACTAGAGTAATCAACTGCAATTGAAAGACATTCAAAATAAGCTATTTGCTCGTATTGTTTCCAAGAAAGCTCACAACCTGTGACAGGAGGTAGGAGATGAGGCAGTGCGACCAAAGATAAACACTCAGTAAAACACACACACAAGTGAATCAGTTTGTAGTCCTACCTCCCCACCTGCTGCTCATGCGAGGTATGACAGCTAACAACAGCCTGGAGGATTTTCTGTCTTCCATGTGTCCCAGCCATAGGGTCCCAGCACTAGAGAAAGCAGAGAAGATAAAAGAAGAGCTTAACCTTAAGACCTTCGAGGAACTGAATGTTAATGTGATTCCTCCTCGATATGAATCAATTAAAAATAACTTTACCGGATGATTATTACATGTCATGTAATGACAAGAGCAAATCTCACATAAACATTTATCACAGAAACATTATCATAGTGGGGGGGAAGAGTGGAACGGACTTCCAAAGGCCCAAAGGGGAGGGGGGCCTTAAAAAGCCTGAATGATTATAATATTTTTAATATTATTCATCTAATTTATAAGTGCTTAATGGAAACGGTTGAAACTGGCTGAATAAATCGACTGATTGACTGAAATTTATATCTAAAAATCGTAGAGGCACCCTGAGGTCACCTGCCTCACCCCTACAAAAAAACGGTTTAGTCGAAGTGACTGACTGACTACTGGAGAAGTGGTGTTCAGCATGTCAAGAAAGCAAACGGAAAGTCTGGGAATCAGAAAATAAAAAATATAAAAAATAAATACTAGTTAGTTAGTTGGTTCTTACGAGGTAGGTTGTTCTTCATCTCTGTGTGTCAGTTTGATTCATTAATGGCAAGATGTAACAAAGTGAGAGATTACACCCCATTTATAAATGAATACTTAATGGGAGGAAAGCTGTATTTTAAAAATGACTTAGGGGGTTAGAAAACTAAGATGGTATTTTTAAGGTTTGTTTTATACTTGAGAAATAATAAAGTAACTGTAGGTAAAAGTCTGAGAAAGGAGGACAGAAATGCAGCGAGATTTCATATTGTGCATAATTAAGCATATCAGATCATTATTACTTATACCAGATGTGGTATGTACTGTTCATTAGTGAGACATGGGGGCCCACAGATACTGCTTGTGTATAGGGCCCAGAATCTTGTGCTACGCCCCCTGGTGGTGAGTAGATAATGAGTGAATGTTCATGTTTTGGGTGAATTATCCCTTCAATTTGCAGTTGAGTGAATTTGGCTTCACTTTTGGGGATCTGTCATATTTATATATCAATCATTATATCAATTCTACCACACACAGAAAAGTCAAGCCTGACTTGTGACGGTGTGAAATCGCGCTGCGCCTCTACCCCGCACACTACGGTCACCCGCGGGGGACAAACAAAGCCCCGGCCCTGTCCTAGCTCGCAACAGTGACGTCAGCGCGCCGCGGCGTTGCGGTGACGCGCGGCGATTGGGTGAGCGCGGAGCTAAAGTGAGCAGCTCGGCGAGGAAAAGATAAGACAGCGACAATAACAGCAGCTGCAGAGGCCGCGGGACGCTCCGCCAACGCAAGCCCACACTCCCGGACTCTCACCGCACATCAACTCGGGTAAGAGACCCGGTGTGAAGGTTAGTTCTTCGGTCCCTGACGCGGTTAGCTAGCAGCCAAGCCGCAGCGGCCGCCCCGCAGGAAGTTTCTTTTGTCCTCCTCAGTCAACAACAACAACAAGCGAGTTGACCGGAGAGGAGGAAGAGGAAGGTGTGATGGCTGGTGTGATGGCTGGTGTGTCAGCAGTGTACCAACAAGTTAGTTTGAGTAAATGCGGCCGTGTGTTGTAAAAACAGGTCGCTCATCTGTCGGGTTGTTACACTCTGAATACCTTTGGACCGGCTAATGTCAGGGTTAGCAGAGATAGCCCGCAGGGTGTGTTAGCCATACAACACATGATGCCATTTTATAAGACTTGTCATGAGCACATGCACTGTTTGACAACATAATGGTTGGACAGCTGTCATGTATTAACAGTTTTATTCTATATTCTCTCTATTGTAGCTTCTTATGATGGAGGTATGCAGGGACAGATGATGTTTTGGTGATCACATGTATGAACAACATGCTTTATGTCTGTTTTCTAGTTCTCCCAGACACATCAACACCACTGTTAACTCCACTGTGTACAACACGTGTACGTCCTTGTCTGTCATTCACTGTACTTAAAGGTTTATAGTGATATCATGTTTCTATTCCCCCCCCCCCCCCCCCCCCCCCAGATGCCTCAATGGCTGCAAACTTCACCATTTCAGACAGCGAGTCGGAGCCGTCGGAGGAGATAGAGGAAGCAGAAATGAGCCAATCATCGACTGAGTCAGAGCATCAGGTTCTTCAGCGCCACAACCTCACCTTACCTGAGCTCAGAATAGCAGGTAGGAAACCCCAGAGGACTAAGAGTTTCTCTGTGCCTTTTTCTTAATATAATCCTAATCAGTTACCTTTTTCTCTCCCGATGTAGCAACTGGTAGAATCAGGCTGAACTCAGAGTCCCACGCCTCCACTGTCTCACGAGACGAGGAGCTCCAAACCAGGGCGGATGAGGAAGTCGGCACGCCCACCGACGGCGCTCCATTCCGAGGACGGTCCAAGTCGGCTCCCCCTGCACTGTGGGCGGCAAAGAAGTACGGCCAGAAGCTCCGGAGGATGAGCGACGAGTTTGACAGCCTGCTAGACAAAGGGGTGAGAATGGAGGGGTCAAAATACGAATGAGGGGTTTAGAAGGGTTTATAAAAACACAGACTCTAGATATACAGTATTGGCATAGGTGGCAAAAGAGACAAGAATCTAGTGTTTTCTGTGCATTGAAACTATTTGCGTCCCTTACACTGGAATGGTAGTATTAAAATGGTTTAAAAGAAGAAAGAAGTGAGTGCAGTTCGACTGATATGGATGTTTGGTGGCCAAAACCGTTATTAGGGAGAAAAAAATGTCCCATACTGTTATTTTGGGCGATCTGTTATGTTGAAAAATGTGTCTATGATTCATAAGAGATTGTAATCAATCCAACCCTTATGATAAAGAACTATAAATATATTAATATAATAATACATTATTACACAGCCATACATGTACATGATTTTTGCATTGTTTATTCTGAAAAATAATTGTTTTAATATTGGTAAATATTAACTCTGTTAAGTTGTTGGCGCTAAAGGAAAAGGATCAGGTTATGCCAGTTGTGCCTGCTGATCTAGAATGACTTCATCCAATAAGGAAAATATGAAACAAAACTTTCTTTATTGTATTTTAACTACGTGTTTGTTTGTTTTTAAACCAAACACTGTGTCATCGCTTCTTGCAGGCAATGAGGAAGGTGAAGAGTGCCGGGACGGCCAAACAGATGCACCACTCTAAAAGCTGGTGGAGCTACCTCTTCAGTCACCAGGAGATTGAGGGAGAGAACAGCCACCTTGAGAATCACACTCACCGCACTGAGTAGGCACTGAGGGTGGATATAAGAGCAACTTAGGGGAATCAATGGGAACAAGAAGAAGAGAAGAAAGCAATGGGGAAGCCAATTGAACAATTGTGATTGAGAGCAGTGAGCTCTGCTCTGAGTAGAAATGGAAGAAAGGTTGGTTTGATCAAAAGGCTCCAAAGACTCCAAACACAAAGGCATGGCTAAACGGGACAAGTAGTACATAGTACTGAGGTTCTAAAGCCTCTAGTCATGTAAATTTTAAAACTAAATTCATATAAATTGTGTGTTTTTTGTTGGTTGTGATGTGAACAACACTGTTAGGCAGCTCACTGTGAACTGGTCAAATGTGAGATGAGCATGAGGACAGACCTGTGGCTTTCCAAACCCACCGTACAAACGGATGGAAGGACGGCCAGAGAGAAGAGAGACGACCTCTTTAAAACGCAGCAAAAGAATAAAATGAGGGGACTAGAAAGGTGAACTATCAGTAAGTAAAAGACACTCAACCGTTTCAATTTTCTCACATCAACACTATGCAATATACTGTAGATGGAGAGATAAATGAGCTGAAAACAAAACGTGACTGAGGCCACCGTGAATGCTGTTAGAACTTCCTTCCTTCCTCATTTTCTTGAGGATATGTCAAGTCAGTGTGATGCTTGTTTTAATCCAAATGTTGGTGCTTGGATCGCACAAGATATCACTGTATTGTGCCAAAATAATTTTCAGGCAACAGAAGTGAGGAGAGAGTGTAAAAAAAGGAAGGATCTTCTTTAAGTATTCAACTCAGGGGGCCTTTCTCCAACTTCCTGTTCTGCTACCAGAACTCTTTCTGCCACTGTACTCGACTATCACCAACTGCTTTATATCTCAAATTTATCAAACAAACAATCTTGTACAAGGACAATCTTTGACAATGCAGAAAAAAATATCTTTTGTACAACTTCAGGGTTAGATTATATCGGAGGAAAATGACATTAAACAGACGTATACAAAAGAAAAGAAAGCACAAACCCATATGAATCTATCTTTTTAAAGCCTTGAATGAGCAAAAAATAAAACAGACTTAGTAATTTTTATGTGTAAATATTGTGTTAATATTTTATCAAATGGCATTGGATGAGGGGTTATACGTGGCGTGGTTTTAGCTAGAAACTAATTCCACGAGTTCCTATTTTATAAGTCTGGCCAACCCAGCAATAGGCAATGTACAATCCATGGCTGTTGTGATAAATGTTATGTGCTTATTTAAAAGTTGTGGGTGGTGACGGAGTAACTACTGTGCAAGGTTTTAAACACACAAGCCTTTGGGCCCATTTACTCAGCAACCTGTGCAAATAGAAGATGGATTCAGAGAGTTCAGCCCCATCTGCTTCTTGCAATCCTGTCATGTTTATATAAGAATTAAATGTGGGGCGGGTTTTGACTTTGACCTGCATTGCGGTGTGAATAAAATGGGATAAAGCTGTTAAGAGTGCTGATCTAATTTCCAATTTGTTATTTACATGCTTTTGAAGATTCCTTGGCACATATACCCAAAATACTACCTTTATTTAAGTTCTAATTGTTTATATGAATCATTATACAACTAAGATCCGCACCTCTAAACAGCTTGGTAATCGATTCGGCTATTTGTGATTTGTTTATCAATATGTGATTATAGGAAATGGTAATAGGTTTGTTCTCCTTGTGTCTTTCTCTCGACTCGTATGGTCGAGTCGTGGTGTGCTCAGCTGTGCAGGTCAAGGGCTGCGTTTGTTATCGAAAAATAACCTTTGCTACAGCTTTTTTTTATACATTAAAAAAACATGTCTAGGACAATTTTTAATCACATTAGAGATCGTGACAATCTGAATGACACCAACCGTTTTTTCTAAGATTTGTCCAAGTGTACTGTGTGTTTTTGTAAGATGATGAGTTGACTGAAATATACGAGCAACCGTTTACAATGAATTAATATCTGGTATAAAGCTCCTAACACAATTAGAATATTCTGTTTGAGTCAAACTGCTAACTCCACTGTTTAATGATATGAGATAGAAACAGCGGAGCCAGGAATGAGTGTTAAAGTGATAACAGTACTTCTAACATGTCACTACCTGTACATCTACATATACAAGTACTGCAGTTAGCAGCTGTGTGGTGTTGTGAACTTGGGACCAGATAAAACTGTTTCGCTCCTTACAATACAGTTCAGCTGAAATTTAAAAGATTATAAATATTCTTATGAACTGCCTTGAACATGCTGGTACCTGCGACGTGACACCACACAGGCGGCCTTGTGTCTTTACCTAATCTACTGCCTTAAATAGTCACAGCTCACTGTCACACATTACTCAAGAAAGAAGCACAATAACGTGGTGGTGCGTTCACTATCGCACTTTTTAGTCGAAGTCGCGTGACCAGTAACGGTTTTGACTTTGAAAACACTTGTGACGGTGAACACACCCCTGAAGAAAAACCTGCCGTGGTATCTTGAGTTCTGCAACCATCCTTAGTATTACTTGAATCTAGAGACGTGTTTTGGAGAAACTGAATTTTTAATATTCCCCTTTTATTTTTTTTGTTGGATTCATTTTCAATGACTTTTGTACATGTATTTTCTCTACAGCTGTCTAACTTCTGGTATATGCTGTCCTGAATAAATACTTTTAAGAGTGGTTTTCAAGTGGATGTCGTGCAGTTCCTTCAAATTCTCCAGTGCGGAGGAAGCTTTGAAATGTTTTAAATTCCTTCCTATGCAAGAATAGAAATAGAAATTGCTTCTAATGTGGCAGAAGAAAAGAGATTGGTTCAAGATTATGGATTTAGAAGCCACAAGATGCGGAGCTCGTGTTCTCCTTGTGGCTTTTTCCATAAATATGTTATTTCTCTATTTATTCTTGTAATATTATGACATTGTTTTCATATGTCCCTAATGCTCCATCGTAGAAGCCACGGAACTAAATGATATAAAACTGTATTATTTTAAAATATTTGACTATTAGGCAACAAACCAATAGGTATTTTCTAAGAGGGCTCTCAGTTTTGGGGACACATAGATATCAGTTCCCTATATGTGCCTGATTTCGTTCATCAAGATCCATGAACTATTCCATGAGACACTATGTTAAAGAAAGTGGAGAAAAAAAGGTCCTAGACCGGCCCCCTGATCCAGATCTGCACCAACATTTAATTGTTTCTTTCCTGACCCACAACACATCCTTCCACCAAGTTTTGTGATAATCCATCTTTTTGTTTTTGTGTAATCTGCTTACAAACCAACAAAAACGCCACAATGGAAGCCAACTGGTGGTCTGTCAAGCCACTTCTGAAGGATCCCAGCAGTACTTGTGTCCACAGTCTAAAGCCGACAGTCGTTCCATGTCTGCGTCGCTCAGCGTGAAGTCAAAAAGCCGAGCGTTCTCAGTTATCCTGTCTGGATTGGAGGACTTGGGGAGCACTGGGACACCCTGCTGCACAGCCCAGCACAACAGGACCTGGAAGTGAATGAAAGTTAAAAAAAAGTATTTATTATGAAACCAGAATAGGTGAGTTTGAATTCAAATACTCTGTGTATGTGTTTACCTGGGCGGGTGTGCGTGCACAGCTCTTTGCCACCTCTGTAACACTGGGATCAGTGACCAGCTCCCCTTTCCCTAAAGAGGAGTAGGCTTGGAAACAAACTCCGTACTCCTCACACAGACTCCTCAGCTCTGTCTGGCACAGACGTGGGTGAAACTCTACCTGAAGAAAAAAATATATACATTCTCTGCACCGGCTGTTTTCAGGGTGAACACAATTCTTTTTGCACAGTTGTGTGTGATACCTGTAGCACTGCAGGGGGGATTGTGCAGGTCTGCATCAGCTCTCTCATGTGTGCGGGTGTGTAGTTGGACACTCCGATGGCCTTCAGCTTGCCCTGGCCATGCAGCTCCTCCAGCGCGGCCCAACTCTGAGCTCGGTTGCCTGGATTCAAATATTTATTACAATGCTGTTACTCAAGAACAACCACTTTTTAGAGGAGGAATGTGAGACGGCAGTTAAAATCTTATGTCATAGTTAGAGGAGCATGTATTTATAAAGCACTCAATACACCTGAGTCAGTAAAAATGATTTACATTTATTTTTGAAACAAGAGTGGCACTCAGTAGAGCACAAACCAACAGTCCCCTTAAATTCTGAACCTTCTAAGACTATAAAAGATACCTATAACCTGTACCCTATTCAATCTAAATTATCTCAGCTACACATTGGTGCTAGTTACAGGTTTGTACAGCAGCATGAGACAAGCCTACCCCCTATGAAACCACATTAAAATCTGATTTTTACTTGGATCGTCACCAAATTACACACACTCATAAATATCAGTCCCGTAAATGTGCCTGATTGTTTTCATCAAGATACATGAATTATTCAAAGGGAAATCGGGGAAAAGGTCAAACAATTCCATAAATAAATTCCTTCATCCACCCAAAACTTCTCATGTTTTTTTTTTTAGCCCATTTCTCATCCTTCAGCCAAGTTTCGTGGAAATCCGTTCTGTGTTCATAATCCTACTGACCAACAATGTAAACAATACAACTTACTATTCCCACAGACAATTTGGTTTTAATAGATAAATAAACAGTTGCATTGATCTAAAAGTGCAGTTTCTTAAAAAATACTAAAGGTCACAATAATTACATTCATTGATTAAATAGTCCACATGGCAGAGAGGCATTTAAGAGTAAGTGCTTTTTTATTCCTTCATGTGTTAAGCTCTAGATGGAGCACAGAATTTTTCCTGTAATGTAGACGGCAACATGGCTTGGGTCCCTCAAAAGCACCTTTTCCACTGGTCAAAAAACCCACGAACATTTGGCTTTTGTCTGTAATGTGGATGGATTCAGTCTGCAGTCACTCCCAGGTCAAATGACTATGAAGTTGACGCAGGTTTTAATCGTCTCCGATCTACAGAAATCCTATACAGGAGTAAACCTTTTTTAAACCTGCGTATACAGTACATAAAGTAAAATGTGAGTTTATGTGAAATCTTTACCTGGGTTGCGTTGATCGGTCACTAGCAGACCCTGAGTACCAGGCCAGTGGATCAGGTAGAGGTCAATGTATTCCAGGTCCAGCTGCGACAGGCTGTGCAGAGCTCCTTCCATGGCTTTGTCACCCTGATCCTTTGGGCCCAGCTTACTGCATCAGGAAGGAGACAAAGTAAACGTTGAGGGGGAAGAATTTTACCCAATGAAGAAGTTAGTGCTGTGTAAAAAGAGCCTACAGCCTCCATATTGTCTCAAAGAATCATGTGATGTGAGTATGACACCTAAACCTTTTGGCAAGCATTATTCATTTTACTCAGCAAATACAGTCAGATAAAGAAAACATTTAAGGTATATTACAATATTGTGAAAGGGGATATCAAGTGTCACATCTCAAAATAAATATTCCATCTATATGTTCATAGTATGGCAGATATACGCTCATATACATCACCTGGTTATGAATACGTCCTGTCTAGTCAAGCCATATTTGGGCAGGAGCACCCTCAGGGCTTGACCCAACTCAGCTTCATTCTTGTAAACAGCTGCACTGTCAAAGGCACGGTAACCTGCAGCCAAGGCGGCATCCACGGCTCGGTGGACGTCCTCAGCACCCCTCAACTTGTAGGTCCCCAAACCCAGGAGGGGCATCTGAATCCCCGTGTTAAGAGGGACAGAAGACGTGGTGGAGGGCGAGGACGACATCTGGTCTGTTTGGAAGCTTTGGTTAACTCAGCACTGTTAAAGAGGGAGACAGAGCAGAGTGAGGAATGAAGGAAGATACTGGTGTTAGAAAATTAGTAATAGTGGTGCTAAAATGGAGCAGTGGTGAGGTTCAAAAGTCCTTACAATTTCATTGGACAAGAGTATGAGGATAAAGATCTCTGATCCTTGAATCTTAAAAACTTTATTGATCTCTCTTGTAACATATTTCTAGAAAGGATATTCAAATACAGCTTCTTCACCTTCCACCTCCATTTTTTTAAATACAATCTAAAATCTACTTCCTGGAACTGGTGGTTAAATGTTCCCTCTGTATGAACATCAACACACTGAGTTTGTCATTGCAGCAGTCTGCACGTGGCTTGTTGTAAATACAGTTTGTTTCAGACAACACACAACGTGCTTTTCTTGAGAAATACACACGACGTCACAATATACCGACAGTGACGCAGTGAGCAAAGTAATGTGACTCCTGTGTGCAGCTCGAAAAGACAGAAGAACCAGTAGAACTGGAACCTGGCAGCCATGGATGAAGGTAAGGACCCTATGGTTCATTTAAAAACACTCGCCCTCACTTTTGAACTGACTTATTTTAAAATGTCGATAAATGAATGTCAGAGTTCTAAAATACATATAATTTAACCTTACCGACTTTGAACCGTGGTATAAATGTGAATATTTACAACTTGTGATGATTTCCTTCCTTCCTGCTCCTGCACGTGGTCAGCTGACAGTCATGTGACCGTCTAGGCGGTTTTCTCCGTCACCATAGCGACTCCTGCTCCGGCGCCGCGGATTGGAGGAGGAGGCCGGCCAATCAAATCCGCCCACAGGGAGTGGAAGGCGGGAGTTCAGCTCGTCCGGCGAATCACGGGGCGAGCAGAGCGTTTGATTGACAGGCGTTTAACTGTTGACGTCCTGAAGTTCACACGCGTCTGAGGACAAGTGGACGACGTGGGAAATACAAGGCGCCGTTTTCTACAGACATTACGGTGATTTAAAGAGCGCGCGAGAGAGAGCTTCAATATAAACTGTTAATTGTTTTAATTGGAGTAAAGGTTCAGGTTCAACTGAATGGGTTTTCTTGCTAGCTCCTTAGTTAACTGTACATGTATGCTAACAGGAAGTCATTCATTTGTTTTATTTTCAAACCTCCAGCTGAGCCATGACGCTGCAGACCTTCTCCTTCCCTCTTCCTGAAACTCGGTTCTTCAGAGCTGATGGGTCCATCTACAAGTTTAAGATCCGAGGAGGCAGCAGCTTCAGGCAAGACAGAGGCACTCCCATTTATAAAGCTGTCAGTACTCCTCCTTTAGGGGAGAGAAGGAGGTTCAGTGTGAGAGACTCCGCAGCAGAGCAAGATGTGAGGAGTTGTTCTTCTGGCATTATGGATCTAATCTCCTGCAATCATTTCCCTTTTTATTTACGACAGTAGAGTAAAACAACTCAAGCTCAAAATCCAAAAGACAAACACATACTAATTATAATAACTTGGATTTATTTAGCGTCCTGATTGTTGCCCAAATGCCACTTTACAGAGTTGAAAATAAAATCAGAATGAAAAAAAGGAACAGATCAAGGACAGAAAATGATAGATAGATAGATAGATAGAAAGATAGATAGATAGAAAGAAAGATAGGTGAACACTGCTAGAAGCATCTTACACATCTCAGATTATTTCATCACCCACCCAGCACTAATCCGAATTATCTATAGCCAATACCAATATTTGAATAAGTGCAAAGAAAACCACATAAGAAATACAATCATTTGTGACAAGCTGGCACCTGTCACCTCTGTGCAGCGCTGGACGAAGCTAGAGGTCAACAGAGAAGTATCCAGAGATGCGGCATTACAGATCTTTGTCAGGGGAGCACTCAAAGGCATGCCACATTCAATGCCCTGTCACTAAAGGTTCTCAGACCCTATCTGAGGAGTAGGTGGAGGAGGTCAAACAGGTATGGAGGGATTTATCGGCGAGGAGGAGGATCATGGATTAGGATGGGGGTGATGTGCTGTGCTGTGTGGCAGCTGTGTTCTGTGCGTACTGGAGCCTGCCACGGTCCTTTCTGGGTACCACAGAAAGGACTTCATTGCAGTGTTGTTGGTGGGAGGCGTTGAAGGCGTGGATGAGGGTCTCTGTCCCTTTCTTCCTATCCTCCTCAACATTCAACGCTAAAGCAGTGCAAAACATTCTTCAGTCTCAAAAGCAGTTGCTAGATCATTGATTTTTCTCCCTTTTATCTCCATTCTTCGCCCACACCGGTGACGATTACATGCTGTGACTTTGTCTCGATATTTTGTTTCATCTGCACAGAAAAGAGGATCTAAAGCCCCACAGCTTCTGTCTTCCTTTCAGCAGGGACACTAGAGTCCTGAATGATCATCCAAAGCCTTCAAGCTGTTTTTTTTCCTTGTGACTGAAGATTATTGTTTTATGTACTCTTTAATGTTTCTGACACTCGAGGATCGGCAGCCTCGGCATAGTATAAGGCTCGGTGCCTCATACTATGATCAGATTTTACTGTATATACTGTAGTCACCAAAACTGGAAATACTACCACATTGTATAGTAATGTGTTTATTTCAGTGGAGAGGAGGAGATGGGAGGAAACTGCTTCAATCAGGAGCTGGAGGTAATAATGACTGCACTGTGTCCCTGTGTCTGCATTTTCATTATGTTGACTCACTGTCATTCACACATTTCTTTTTTTGGTCAAATTCCCAATGAACAGATGCATTCTGACTTTATCTTCTCTGTTTTCAGGACATCATCAGAACTGTTCTCGGCAACCTGGACAATCTCCAGCCTTTCTCCAGCACCCACTTCAGTATCTTCCCTTGTATCCCTCAATGTAACTTCACCAGCTTGGTCGTCCATCAGTGTATTTATTCGTCTATATCCACTGTATAGCTCTCCACCACACTCAGGTCATCCGTTACTGTGATGTAAGGGAATGAGGTCATGCAGATGTACAAGTTTGCACGTTAAATTTTAGTTGCGTATCTGTGAATAAGATAAAGTGGGGACCAAGCAGTAAGGTCACAACCAATGTTTGGAGTTGAGATCCCTTTCGTGCATGCAGCTACTTGTGTTATCTTCAAATCCCTGTGTTTTCTTAACTGTGGCTACCAGATAAGAAGCGGTGGGAGGGATTATCTAAGGTGATGTGCAAACATGATGAGAAGAACCTGAGAGCCTATCCTTTCATTCTCATCCTCTACCTGGAGAAAAAAACGCAGAATGGTGAGGAAACATGCACAGCACTTGGTGTTGCACCTCAAGATATCTGGTAATTCAGCAGAATACATGGGATAGAAATTCCTATTACCCGATCTCATCCTTGACACCTATCCCTCATCTCTTGGTCTTTAAGTGCAGAGGAAGAATAGAGGTGTCTTTATACAGGTCCATAAGGATGTCTCACATGTACTGTATATATTGTACATCTTGTTTCAGGAAAACACAGAGAGAACAGGCTGAGTCCAGTGAGTTGATTTTCTATTACTCGTGAGAAAACAGATTGTACAGATTCTACTTACATTATGTCTTGTTTGTTATCGCACTGTCTATCCCCTTTAGATTACATTTTATTTTACGTGCTCATGAGTCCATAAAGTGTGTGTTTTCTAGGAGAGCGAGAGAGAGCATCACTCCTCTGTTTCTAAGCCCCAGTCAAAGCGCAGGAAGACGGACTCACCACTAGAGGAGGCCATACTACAGGTCTTAGTCAAGGAGCTGGAGGCTGAGAGCAAGATTTCCGTGGTGGGGTGAGTCCTCTATCTACTGTTCTGAAGAGACAATAAGTTCAGCCACATTTACTTTGTCCTTTTGTCTCATTTAATCTTAAGACTCTTTCTGCTGCTTTCTAGATAAGCGTGGCTGAATGAAAGTGTAAGATAAGATAAACGTTATTGATCCTACAGCAGGTAAATTCACCGGTTACAGCAGCAGATAAAGGCGGTGGACAAGAAAGCAAGTGAAAGTATAAAAATAGATAATAAGATACAAAATAAAACAATAGAAAATAAAGACTACATACATAATGTACACTTTTCACTACAGGTGGAACATTTCCTCAAATGGATTATTGCAGTTTCTGGTCTGTGTGGTAATATTTTATTCCTCTCACATCGACTTTGTGATTGTGTTTGCAAGTTTATTTGCTAATTTTCTAGTCTATAGCCTGATATGTAATATTATATACTTGATAGAATTCGAGATTTTATCCACATCATCCACATTTATAATATATTCTCTCTGTTCAACACAACACAGTGTGTTTAGTCCGTAGACAGGCTTTGCATCAAGTGCAGTGAGGGAGCAACATCTTTGTCATCATAACTGTAGTGTTTGGTTTGTGACAGGTAAGTTATTGTGACAGCAATAGCAGGTATTAGTGGCTTTAATATGGATGATGCAGTGTGTGATTACTGTATATTCACACACACACCTCTATACACATTGTGTAGAGATGAGTTTTCCACACACACACACGCGCTCCAGTGATTGAGTTAGTGAATGAGTTATGAAACAAGACAGGAGGCAAACGGGCGCCACCTCAATCACTCTAACAGTCAGTTCAGTAGGGTGAAACTTATTATTTAAAATGCTCACACACACTGGCAGACATACACACACAAACACACACTCACAGACACAGATACACACAAACAGGGAAACCCTGTGTTTCCTGTGAAACCTGTGTTCCATTATGTAAACAGAATTGTCTCCTTTCTTTAAAACTTGACGAACGCACAGTCAAATGCACAAACTGTGTAAATATCCTGGGAAAAAAAAAACCCCGTCCTCGAGCATCATTACCAGTTCACAGGAAATCAAGTTTCATTGAGCATTTCTCATTGAATTACATTCACCACATTGACCATTACATTAACATGTCCTCACAAAGGTGGCGCACATTAGCACGCAGCAGTGCGAGTTCAAAAGTACAGCACACGTATTGTACAAACACAATTACTGTCCATGTTCAACCCTTACTCTGCGTGTGTGTGTGTGCCTATCTGATGCCCTGGAGGGACAGAAGGTTTGTTTTTGTGTTAAACCTGCTGGAAACAAGGGAAAAGAAAAGTACCAGTTACAGAGAACAAGTGTGGACGAAGAACGGACAAAAAGAGCTTTCAGCTCTGTTGTCATGTCTCTTTGTGTAACATTGACTGTGCAGTTCATAACTAAATGCACAGGTAATACTAAATATTATTATAAATGTATGTCTGATCAATTTACTGATGGAATTAAAAAGTGTGCTTGAGTCCTTATCAGACAGGTTTTGCCGTTTATTATTCTTTCTTAGCAAAAGTCAGTCTTCTTTGCTTCTTCTCCATACCCATGTGTTAGCTACACACTTGGTGTTTCTTTAGTTAGCCCTCACCATCTCATGCTAAGCCAAATACTTCTCAGCTGACTTCTGGGCTTTCTCGTTGTCCTTTATCAGAGTTTTCTATTATTCTTTCTACTGTAAAATAGAATTTCTAAGCTGTAGATTCTTGTTCCATTCTTTGCTCTGCAGCTTCAGCTTAGTCACGGGAGATGTGGTTTGGTCAGATTCAATAAAACACTGCACTTGATGCGGTGCTCGGTTGAAATTAAGATTTGCCACCCTGACTTTTTTGATGCCCTAACTCATGTAAGCACTTTTAAGTGTAGAAGCACAGTTAAGTCTTGTGATTGTTGAAGTCAGCAGTTCGGTAATCCTGGGAAACTGACCACCTGCATTTCTTCTGCTGTCAGGACAATCATGCTTTTAGGTATGTCTGGCTCTTTCTACCATGGAAGCTGAGTGGACTTCTTAAAAGCCACTTTGGACAGTGTCTGCTAATGCATGTGAAGTAATGTAGTTTAGACTCTTCATACAGCTCTTGTAACAAGATGAAGTTAAGAGTATCTTAAGGCCTTTGGAGGCCATGCACAAGCATGACACCATCAAATCACTCATCATTTTAAATATTTATAGACAATTATATCCAACAAACCCCAACCTTACATTCGTTTTTATATTATAGATCAGATATATAGAGAGGAGTATTGACCATGTGCACTTCACGTAAAATTCACATGCAAAACTTGTTTTTTAGTCACTTGCTTGATCAGCTCAAATATATTTATATGTTGAGTTCCATCTGGTGATTATTAGTTAACCACACTTTCAAAGATGTATACAAAAGCAATTGTTCCCTCAGAGTAAGGTAGCTTGGTTATGTGTGACTTTCAGCATGCTGCATGTGGACAATCCACAGGAAGAGGGAGCGGTCAAAGAGGATCCAGGACATGTCAAGGTGATGCTTTTCATTTGCTCATTCATTCACATTCATTCATCTTTTACTCACATTTATACACAGTGAACTGATTTGTCAGTCTCTTAAATGTCAAATGAAGAAGTCAGTTATCTCAGCGCACTGGTGTGTCGACGTAACCCAGTCCAACCGCACACACACACACACACACACACACTTGTGGCACCTCTGCCTTTATTGCAGCCCCAGGCGAACATTAGTGCAGACAGGTAGGATAACAAGTGTGATTAAGGTTAATAATAGCATTACATCAGACAAAGAGTCAGACAGAGAGTGTAGGCCACATTTGTGTGTGTGTGTATGTGTGATGTAAAGCAACATCTCAGATCTGCCCCGCCCCGCTCTCTTCTTGTCCACGTCCCATCATCTCATTTGATCCCTTTTTTTTTTTACACTCTGACACTTCTTTCCACCTCTTCCATCTACAGCTTTTCCTTTTTTTTCTCTCACATTTGTTTCAAGTGGAAAAAATGATTTAAACTAATTATGTCAGCCCATTGAGTTATTTATTTTCTTAACACTGAGGAGGAAGTGCCAATACAAGTCTACAGAGCTTTAACAAGGATTACGTTGGAATATTGTGGTGATGTCAAGGTGATTTTCAGGGAGTTTGTCACTCATGCATGAATTCAAGAGAAAACTTGTGAACATTTTTGTAAATTAACTGCAATTTACAGTAATAATAATAGATTCACTCCACTTAGAATTAACAGCAGGGTCTTTTTACACAAGAGTTTGAATTCATTCAAAGATGAACAGCCTTTTTTAAACTTCATGAGCTGTGGTTAGTTCAGTAGCCCAGAGTTTTTCTTGTTCTTCTAGCTCTTTGCCTTGGGTGTCAGGTTGGTTCTACCACAGTTAGTCAGCTAGTTAGCTATTAAAGCTTTGCCATGATTTTAATCTCTTTTTAATCCTCATTTAATCCTTGTTTGACAAACTCCAGCTGAAATCAGGCGTCAACATGATGAGTGAGAGTCCAAGTGAAGGGCAGCCGGGGACAATACAGGACATGGAATCAGAAGAGGAAGATAAGGCAGCTTCAGAGAGGTCAGGGTTTCTGACTCGACTGGCCAGGTTAGTGTTAGTGATAGCACAGTTGGCACTCACAAGTAGTATTTCACTTGCATGCAACAGACAGTTGCAGAGAAGTTAGTAGCAGATCTGCACACAGCAGAATAGAAGACTCACGTCAAGTCTTATCTGTAGATTTGATTGACTTTTACACCCACAGGAGAAACGAGCTGATTAGAACTAAGAGAGAAAAAGAAGATGTCAGAGTTTAGGATGGATTGGGGAAATCCAGCTCTGCACAGAAATTACAATATTCCTGTGAAGTATCTGTTCAGGCAAGCTGGGACACCAGACGTCCGCGGGGGGAAACAAGGACTGACTCAAGTACCTCAACGTTGAGGGAACATGTCAAATCTTACAAATGTAGTCTTATGGTTTACCCTGTAGTCGTTATGGTAATATCGATGTACAGTAGCAGCTTAATTGAATGAGACCAAGAAGCAGAGAGCTGCACTCATCATTTGTGCAACTTTTTTCGACTTGAACAGACTTTTAAAATCTCTCGTTCTGTATCTCTTTGCAGCCAAATCTTCCCTTTCTCATTGTTCTTCAGGGACAAGTGAGAGACAGGAAGGTCAAAGTAGTTCGAGTAGTGGAGCCTCACTGGTGTTAGTTTGGTTAAACTTGTTTTGATTTCTTCATGAACTTAAATTTATAGATTTGTTGGTTTTCTTCAACCTCAATAGATTCCTGTTTACATTTGTATGTATCAGTCTAGTGTTTGTAACTTCCCCTGAGGTTTCTGCTCATGTTCTCTATTGTACTTGTTACATTTTCCATTGTATTTATTTGTTGGGAAATATTGACGTATTTAACTATTGTTACAGAGATGAAGAGTCTATTTTTCACCATATCTCATTGTAGGTTTCCCTAATACAAGCGAATAAATGTTCTAATTTCTTTGTAGCCTTTTGTCTTTTTATGGTGAGTCGATGTTGGGTTTATTTACATTAGGATATTTACAGCTTTTCCTGAAATATACTAGAAAACAACAGAATATCCTCTTATATTGCATATACTGTATATATTAAAAAAGCAGGTAAAAAATAGCCAAATCGCTAAATAAATGCCAATAGAACAAAAGTATTCCTCTAAAATCTTGGTATTACCACAGAATCAGAGACCAGAGATCTTCCTCTATCCTTTGTGACTCCATAAATATGAGTTTGGTTTCCTCTACTTTCTAATTTGTTTGTCCGTCTCAGCTCTAATTTGTATGCTTATCATGTTTTCCTGTTTTAGCAGGATGGAAATTCAAGAGTGCTGTAAAATTAAAGTGTTGACATTGTTGCTCAGTGTGCAGACTGTCAGATGAGCTAGGAAAACACGTTCTGATGCTTTTATTCTGATTGCTGTAGAACCTTCCGTAACATTTCCACTCCTTCGTTTGTGCATGTGTGTGTGTGTGTGTGTCCTTGTAAGTGCACACCTGATCACCTTGTGGAAACTCCACTTTCCTCCTGTCAATCTAAATGAGCTAAGTGTTCTGTGTGTGCGTGCATAGTTAAAAGTGTATAAACCCACAAGTATTTATACCTGATGCAAATATACAAAAAAGCAAGGTGTGTGCGTGTGTGTTTATGTCTATGTGTGGCTGCATGCACGTGTCCAAGTGTTTATATATGGAGGAAAACTGGTCAACTCAAACATTATCTTAGAAACAGGAAAACTTTGCCTAATCCTCTCCTTACGTTGTCACAGGGCCACAAATAACACACACATCATTTATCTTACATTTACTCACACACTCTGACCACACACACAATACCCTGTCAATACATAATGATGCACACTTCATATTCTTTCCCTCACACACCAACACACACATGCGCAGATGCGTGTGCACACGCACTGAGATTAAAATAACAGGGCAGAAGTGGAAGCGGACACATTAATGATATTATAGTTATTCAAGACGCCACAGTTTCCAGGGCAGCCGAGAGCGACGGGGCCACTGAGTGATACAAACATCAGTCACCCCGCTGAGTCACACTGGAGTAATGTGTGTGTATGTGTGTGAGCTTTAGCTGCAAGAGAGACTCCAGTTTAACAAAGTTCATTCATGTCTCTCTCTCATGATGAGGTGCTGTGGCCCACTCAGATGCAGTCTCTCTACCCCTCTCTCTTTGGTTGGCATGGAATCAGAAGAAACACACACACTGCGGCCGTCCATGCAACTTACAGTCAACACACAAAACTATTAGTGTGTGTAGGTGGGGGGGTTTAAGTGCTGATGTCACACATTCCGTTTTCCATTGACATAACTGGATTGGGAATGTTTGGGGTAGAGGGGCCATAAGATGATAATTGTGTTTTCGTTAGAAGGTGCGTGTGTGTGTGTGAGTGTGAGTGAACGTGCAGAGCTGGAAGTTAATCCAGCATCGACTGGATCCTGCGTTACTGCAGCCTTGCATTGAAATAGAAGTGTGTGTTGCTCAAACATCACATGCTGTCATGCAACGTATGTTTACAAAAGACATCTGAGAGGAAAACAATAAGTGAATGACATCATTCTTATCCAGCCAGTGTTCTGTATTGACAGGGGGTTTAGAGGACACGGCTGCCATTATACTTTTTTCTTATTGTCAACAAAACACAAGAAAAGGCCAAATCCACGACTTGGACTTCCCATCCCGGTCTGCAGCCTCAAAGCAAAGAAGGAACCAAACGTAGACTGTTTATGAAGATGGATGACATGACAGCTCCCCAAAGGTAAAGCCAAAGTGGCTTGATTGCAAACTGGTGGATGTCTCCAGTATAGGTCAGAAATCCTGCCTCCTCCATGTCAGTGATTTGGACATGGACCATAATAAAATAATTGTCGGTAGTTCTTATCACGCTGATGTATGTTCATGTTCCAGTAATTCTTTTGATGATATTAAAATGTAGGGAGACGTGATGATTGACAGCTGAGATTGACTCACGATTAGTGGAGCGCATGTATTAGGTAGACATCTCTACCACAGCCGATCTGGACTGTACAGACTCTGACTCCAAATGATGGCAGTGATTATTTCCCGGGATATTTTAGCTTAATTTCTGGATCATGGGAGAGAGTGGAGACACTTCATCCATCTTTATATACAGTCTATCATCCCAAATATATGGTTTAATTTTTTTATTAAGGCCAAGTCATTCAGAAAATGGCTTGGCACTGTAGCGTGAAGCAAATGTTCACTTTTGGAGACTATTTTTCCCGTGGAGCAAAACACGTTCGTTAGTCTGATGAGTAAACGTCAACAAGCAGGAGTGAGTCAAACTAGACAAAGTGTTTTGTTTATGATAATGAAGGAACATGTCACTAAGCGCAACAGAGTGGCTCACTGATGTGTTTTTAATAGCTGCTGGACAACAATGGAGCGCTGTGGCACAGAGGAATAATCTATAATCAAGCTATGAGTCCCACATGACTCTGCCAAGGCCCAACACACACTCATAAATATCCCCATTATAGTCCTCATTTGGGTTTTTTATCAAGATCCATTCATTCATTATTGAAAAATTGACAAAAATGTCACAAAATATCACATAAAAAAAAGTATCACCTTCCTTGATCAAATCTGAATGCAGTCTTTCCCAAGAATCCGTCCTCTAAATTTTTTAAAGATTGTTTATTCCTGCTAACAAATAGCAATTAAACCATAACCCCCTTTGCAGAGGTAATAGAAGTAATATGATAATAGGAGAAATCCATTGTACAGTATTTTTATTTCAGTACAAACTGTTGATCTGTAACTGTAATTCAGGCTTAAAATGTCAGTTTTCATAAAACAAGTAAAAAAAAAAAAAATTTGCCAGAGTAATACGAATATTCAACCTTTTTCCTTTTGTCAAGTATTTTCTGAAGTAAAGTAGATTTTATTCTTGACATTCTTTCCTGACACTTCCTGACATCTGTTGTTGATCTGTTGGTTCTTGTATGTCATTAATTTGTCTAGGTTGAAATTCATTGAAGTAATAGATATAAAAGAAATGTGAAAATGTTTCTTAATTCAAATAAGGTTTGTATGGATTCTATAGTATAAATAAAAAGATTTAAAAAGCAAAAGACAGATAGGAAACTCTTGAATTGGGCGTGTTTCTCTTTCCGAACATTTCAAATGCACAAAATTACAAGGAGAAAGATTATTTGACGTCCTAAGGAGTTTTAAAGAGTAAAGCTGAGTGATTCAGGATTGACCGAAAAACTGAAACAATGATAAAAACTGCATCTGAAATCTGATCCAAAATATCTCGTGATGGAGTCAAATGTCCGCTCTGACGCAGCTCCAGCTGCTGCTCAGGCGACTGCGATCGTATTGTTTGGTGAGTTCTTCTTAATTCAGTTCAACTGGCAGATTCTGTTGAGGACAAAGAGTCAAGCCATTTATTTTTATGGCCCAGTATCAGTGGGCTGCAGTGTCTCAGTGGGTTTCGTTGGCAAACTACTGCAGTGACTCCCAACCTCACCTCGGGGAAGACATGGAAAAACTCATTGAGAAAATGTAACCTCAGGAGAGGAAGTTTAAATAGAGGAACCCCTACATGCACACGCGCACACACACGCACACACACACACACACACAGTGACATCTAACCAATCCCACCCCTCCTCCTCTGATGGCTGGGAAGCTTTTCCAGCTACTAAGTTTGTTCCTTCACCGTGAAACCCTGTTTCATTTGGAGACGCACCAAGAGAGGACAAAGGGAAGCTATTGTGGGTCTTTGGCACCGCGTTTGAAGATCTAGAACCTTTGAGGAGTGACAGTGATGCTCGTCAATGTTCTGATCTGACAGTCGCTGACCTCTGATGTGTCACTGAAGCCGATGCGTACGTGCTGCGACAAATAATCAAATTAAAAGAATGTCTTTACCCGCTGGAGTTTGGAGAGGAAGGTTGCTAAGCTGACATCCTCTGTTCAAGACAAAAAGTAGAAGAGAAGCAGAGTCAGGCGTTCCCCAAATATACCCAGCATGTGCCACACACACACACACACACACACATACACACACATACTGAGAAAAAGAGTTGACCGAAAACCACAATATCTTCTGACCCGACCCTGCCCTTCCTCCTGCAGCCACAAATGGAAAACCCAGGCAGTGTGTGTGTGTGTGTGTGTGTGTGTGTGTGTGAGATCTCCCATTCAGTATTTTCATTCCCTGCCAGTGTGTATCAGGCTTAAATTATAATTTGTGTGATTAAATATGTGTACATGCTTTTATGTGTGCCTCCCTGCATGTGTATGTGTGTGAGGTGAAGCTGTGTGTGTGTCTGTGTGTGTGAGGTGAAGCTGTGTGTGAGGTGAAGCTGTGTGTGTGTGTGTGTGTGTGTGTGTGTGTGTGTGCTCTCACTGTTGTGGCCATGCGTTGATGGAAAACCTATCTAGTTTTCCTCTGTGTCACAGCAGCAGTCCCCCTGAAGGTTTAAAGCAGAGTGCGAGGATGGGGAGGGTGGAGGGACGCGGAGATGTTAACACACTCTAGGAGGAAGACAGAGAAGAAGTTCAAGGCCATTAGAATATTGCTGGAGAGTGCTTTGATGCACAGGTAGGACGAGTGGTGGAGAAAGACTAAAGAGGGAGCTGTAGAAAAAAAAAAAAAGGCTCAGACACACTCAGCTCTCTTATTGTGGGTGTGCCCAGAGCTATAAGTGCCTTACCTGTGTTACTTATAGCCCTGCATGAGGCTCGGAGGAGACACACACTCACACACACACCTGTCTGTCCACACACCTGCCCTGCACTTCAGACGCTGTGCTCTTCACTCTACATCTTCAGGTAAGACCCTGCTCATTTTTTAACACCTTGGATACATTTGAAATGGAAGGAACAGATATTTTAAACTTGATTCTTGCATTCTTAAAGATCTTTGAGGCTTTTTTCTGCAAATGCAAAAATATAGAAGTTTAATTAAGTTGAGATTTTGTACATTTGGGAGGAAATGTTTCTTTAAACCCATTCACCTGTTTGAGGATTTCACATTTTGCATGTATTTGCTCTACAGTAACATGACAGTAACATGTTGCAGTTTTTGGAAAGCATCTTTCAGAGTTTCTTTTAACATTGTTAATAATTCAGATAACATTTGATAAAAGTTAGCATTATTTTTTCTGAATTATAGAAATAATATTATACAATATATTATATAAAATGTATTGTTCTCTTTCAGTGAGGCTTTACATCCAAATCAGTAAATTCCATATTTGCATTAAGATGCAGTTTATCCAAACTACATTTATTGTATCTGATGTAAATTTCAAATGTTCATTGTTTGTGATTTGGTTTGATGGTTTGAATCCTTCATACAACTGAAGTGATGAGTGGATGAGTGACAGGGAAATATTTCCAACTCTTTCTTTCCAAATATTTCATTTGATGTTTCTTTTAGAAAGGATGCATGAGTTTTCACTCTGGATGTGGTTTTATAGAAACATCTTCAGCGGTATTTAATGTCTTTAAGATGCACGGTGCCAAATGTTGGAGCAGCAGCTTACGACACTGCGGACAAACTTTGTGTCTTCGTGTTTTAAGTTCCTCTTACACAGATCTTTTAAAGGCAGCATTGATAACATGATTTTCAGAAGGTGTTTCTGTGTTTCAACAATCCAAACTTTTCCAGTGTGTTCTTGGTGGTCTCGAATGCCCGCCCTCCCACTGTCATTTCCCAAAGTGGCGTGTCGTCTATTACAACCCACTTTCCTTGAAAACCAAACCTCCGGGCGTGGAAACGGCACATAAGAGGAAAAACCCCCCACCCCCCGGCTGACATGGGGTTAATTGGCCTCACACACTCACACACACACAACGACACTTACACACAATCCTGACCCGTTAATTTGGTCTTATACCAGCAGCGTAAATGGCGTCCCTAGGGCTGTTCCGCCATCGCCACAGCGGTGATTCCCAGCACTCCCTGGGCTGGAAAGAGCTGCCATTTTAGAGGGCAAGGGTCAGGATCAGCAAATTCTCAGGAAAATATGACTTTATTGTTTACACACGTGCTGGAGTGGGGGTGCATCCACGTGCGTCCATGAACACTCAGCACCATGCATGCACATGTGCGTGTTCATGCTTATGTGCGTTCATGTGCAAAACAACAAGACACACGCACAGGATCCTTCACCTGAGTGAGACTGTTATAGGCGATAGGCCGATGAATCTGCCGTCATGTTCTCAGCTACGTGCACATTCGCACGAGTCGGGGAGAGCTGTGTACACATGTGTCAGCAGGTAGCTGTTAAATGAGGCAGATTGAAAAGCTAAAGACAGTTGGCTATTGTTTTTATCCACACCGGCTGTTACTCAGCTGAGTGACACGCAGCCAGACACGCAGGATGGGAAATCACCTTAGCCCGATGGAGACGGTTGCTCAGGGCAACGCTTTGATTTCAGGGCAAAGTTCAACAGCAGGAGATCATATGTCTTTGAGATCATGGCTCCAAATGAACTTCTAATGAGTTCAAATTATTATTTGTATAAAGACGTTAAACTTCTCTGGAGTCTTATCACTGCTCTGTTTTGACCCTCCAGGCTGCCGTTCAGATGACGCCGTGCGTGACCTCACACCTCTGCCTGCTGGTCTTACCAGTGATGTCACTGCTGCTGCTCTTATCTCCCATTGGTTGGAGCTACGATGGCCTCGCCCCTGGCTGTCACCTTTACCGTGAGTTACACACGAGCACACAGGAGTACACCGTTTTAAGACCCCAAATCTATTCATGGGGAGCAACAGGGTTTATGGGTAATGTGGTCTTGAGAACGTTATAATCAACAGTTCAGACTATCGACATATAAATATAAAGATGGATGACACATCTTTCTAGAAATCTATAAAAGAATTCCGAGGATACAACCATCGCCATCTTGTGCATTTGGAGTCTGAGCAGTTGCGATCGGGGGATGGAGCAGGGGTAGCGAGGTCCTGTTGATACAATGGCTCAGCCAATCTCAGATGTCAATCATGGCTCAACACACACATAAGCTCATTCGCCCTCTCTCTTCCTCTCCAGCCTTCAACGTGACCATCCGCAGTGACCGCCGCAGCACGTGTAAAGGCACCCATCTGGTCTACGCCTGCGTGGGCTACTGCGAGTCCAGCGCCTTCCCGTCCAGATACTCCGTACTCGTGGCCTCCAACTTCACCCACAACATCACCTCCGCCTCACGATGCTGCACCATCAGCAAGGACGCCAAGGTGAGGAGCAGAGGGAGGTGACTGGATGTGCGCCACAACACAAAGTTTCAAATGTTCTTATTCATGGCCTATTGCTCGTCTCCCCTCAGGTCAAAGTTCGCCTGGACTGCCCTCGTGGTCGCCACCACGATGAAATAGAGATCCTGACAGCGAAGGCGTGTCGCTGCGACATGTGCCGCAAGTCCCGCTACTGACATATCATGACAGCATGCTGTGTCACAGTGGGATAAGAACCAACATTCCACTTCAGTGATTCAACAGTAACTATCCTTCATCTGTCTGTGTTGGCTTTTTTTAAATGTTGAAAAAAATTCACTTTAACTTCAAACAAATTGATTCCACCATGTTACTCTCAGAACCAGAGTGTCCTTCATTTGTTTTTGTAAAGAAAATCAAAAGAAGGAGAGTCCATATAAAATTGGATCTGGATCACTTACCCAGTGCTTTTATATTGAAATGCAAAACTCACACTTTTGAATGTCTAATAAGACGTGTGGGTGTACTGATGTCTTTGTGAGGCTGCAGAGACCTTACGGAGTGAGGACATTTTGGGAAAGTGAGGACATTGTGACTGGTCCCCACTTTCTCAAAGGGCTTTTTAAGGGTTAAGACGCTCAACTTGGCAGGCATTTGCAAAAATCTAAACTTTATTGACTTAAAACTCTGTTTGCCGGTGGACAAAGGGCCTGAATGCAGGCGGAAAAAATTGTTTTGCAAAATATTAGTGTGTAAGTTGTGACGGTTGAGGCTAGGTCTAGTGCCCTCATTAGATAGAAGTGTTTTGTTTGTTGTGTTAAATGTGATGTGAGGGCGGCTCTTGTAGAAAACTTGATCGACACGCGTGTGTTCCAGTATAAACGTTCTGTCACAAAAAGTGAAACTTGGCTTTACAGTTACATGTACACAAATAGAAATGAAAAATATTCACACTCATTCATACTCAAGCACGATGCAGACTCAATCAAATTCAAACTCTTTCATACTGAATTATATATACATATCATATTATATATAGTTTATATTGAAATACAGTGTAGTCCAAGCACAGTGGTCTCAAACTTTAAAAGACCAGGCTGTATGACAACATGAATAAAAACAAGTGCGGCAGTTATGTCATCTAATCATTGACTTGTTTGAAATGTCAGCAAAATTCACTATATCATCAACGTTTGGACTCAAGGTCATTTAAATACATAGTTCCATTATTTGCAATAACCACTAAACCCAGACACGAGACTAAAGAATGTACAAAATTTATTTATATTTATGAATTTGAACTGAAAGACATTTTTGTAAATAATAATATCTATTGATTAAACCAAAGAATGTTTGACAAATCAATGAAATGAAAAGAGAAAGAATGCACTGTATAGTTTGTGATGAATATGTATTTTCAATAAATTTCTATTCTGCAACTGTTCGTGGCTGATGTCGACCTTTGCTTTATCTTTTACACAAACACTTTAAGGGACATTACAATAACTTATTGTATTAACATGTGTGGTTTCATTTTAAAAAGCAGACTTACGGTTTAGTTGGCGGGCGAACTAAAAGATCCAAACTCAAATAACTCCAAAAAAGTGTAAGACCAAACTTGGAAACAACAGTGAGCAGGGCTGAAACATTCGGAAATCCAACACGTGAACAAACAAACTGACAAAGATGGAGGAATGATTGAACTCAGGTGTGACTCATTACAGCAGGTGGAGAGAAACAGAGGAGCAGGAAACAAGCTGCGTCCGAAATCACTCACACTAACAGAACAATATATACCATCATGCATTGGGCTCGCGGCGGAGAGGAGAGAATGTACAGATCAGCGCATCACCGCACAAACTGTGGCAAACAAGTTTATTTCTCCTCTTAAAGATGATCATTCAATGTGTTTTCAACATAAAAGTATCAATAAGAAGTGTAAGATAGATGTTTAAAATCTGTTGTGGTATTTTCTTTGTTGTTATAATCCTGCCTAACACCATGTGTAAAGTGTCAACACACAACAGATGCCCCCAGTGACCTCACCGCTGCCATCTCTCTGTGAATGGTGTTTGAGTCACGTCATGTTCAAGTCAAATCTTATTCATTCGTACAATAACATGCACAAATGAAAAGGTGTTGATTTGAGACTCAGTGTTCAATTAAATGTCCTAAACCATTTTCACTTTTCTTCTAATTTACTTGATAGTATGGACACACTAAATACAAGTAGTTGCCCACAGTGGCTGGTTGGTAACGTGGCCTGGTTACACAGATACAGAAGAATAGTTGAAACACAAAATGCATGTGACTATAATGAAATAGTAAATAATGAAAGCTACAGATGATGTGGTGTTTTTACTCATATGCATAATAAAAAAGTGTCTTTATCTGTATGTGATTAAATCAAGAATTAGTAACATTATGACAAAGGATCACAGATCTTGTATTTTAATATTTTTATTCCTCCTTTCTTACATACAGACACATGAGTAATGATACACACAAGGCCTTTAGTCATCAAGTATCCTTCTTTCAAAAACTCTCCCTGTCATTAAATGTGAGATTCCTGCTGTCATCGCCCCTCAGAAAGTCTCACACTCTGTGTCCTGTGTGGAGCAGATGGCACAGTGGCAGTGCAGGGCCATGGGATAGTGGTAGAGCGGGGAGACGTTGGGCAGGCAGCCCGGCAGCCGCGCCGTCATGTGGCGGATACGGCTGTACGTGCACACGCGGTGGTGTCGCTGGATGTAGGGGGGATCCGGCACAGGTTTCTGGAGGGTTTACATACACACAGAGGGAACACAGATTACTAGAGCGTCTCTCCAATTTACAAACAAAAACTATCAATGAGTTAGGTAAATCAGGTAAGATAAAAGTATGTTGTCTTCAGGCAGGGTGCTCCACACCCTCAGAGCTTTTATTTTAAAAGCTCTCTCCTCCTTATGCTTCAGAGGAGAGTCTGGAAAAGTCAAAAGGCCTCTACTAGAGATTCTCGCGGTAAAAGATCTGCTACACACTGAGGATTTAAAATGTTACGTGTCTTATAAGTCATTAAAAGAACCTTAAAATCAAGGTGATATGATTAAAAGCCTGGCAGCTGAGGTCTGTACTGTCTGCATGATGAGATAAACGCAGGTAAAATAGTGTCTGTATTTTCAGGAGCAGCTGAGGGAAAACCTTTTTGGACTGAAAATGAAATGTTGAGTTTGTTTACGTCACTAAATAATTATGCTGTTATGATTTTTGTTTTTTCTTCTAATTATGTTGCTTATTATCTATTTTTTGTCACCATCCAATCACAGCGCTCAGGCTGCATGGATATTGTTAGTTCCAGAAACGATGCAACAACTAACTCTGTCAGACTCATCATTAGTTATCTTGCTTTATATAACATTTGTCCACTTTTTGTGAGAGTGTGTTGAGGACATGAACTTGTCACTGTCTTCATCCGTTTTTTGTTTCTAGCTCCACCCAAGATTACAAGATGTGCAAGCAAGTCCAAGGCATTAAATGTAGCGGGAAGCCTCCAGATGTAGAAAGTGAACCTCGAGAAGATTGTTTCTCTGTTTTGTCAGAAAAGCGTGCTGATGACACTCTGCACTGACGCTCCCACCGTGAGTCATCGCCACTTGTTGCTGATTCAGAGCTTTTCTCCTCTGAAGACAGAGGTCTGTCTGACGGCATTCCTGACCCACTAAACTTGGTTTTTCAATTACTCTTGAGGTGAAATTTGATTCTCTGCAGACGAGAACACGTCCAGTAAAAGTTTGCTCACCCTCCCCCAACTTGGAGGGACGTGAGCATCTTTTATGACAGTAGCATATGGGTCGGAGCTGGGAGTGGGTCATCAACCTCCTTATGGTTTGGGTTGAGTCCTGGGTCATTAATCATTCATTTGATTTCTCATCCTTCCAGTATAATGGAAGCTTTCAGAAATAGCAATGGAAAAAAGTGGCACGGATGCTCTGTCTCTATACTGTGTGAGTCCGTGTGTGTGTGTGTTTGTGTGTGTGTACACGTCGTGTCTGTTTTGTTACCTCCCAGGTGTGGCAGCGCCCCCAGCAGGCCTCAGTGGTGATGCGTAGTCCCTTGCAGCCGGGCTTCTGGGCCACGAAGGAGAACTCTCGCACGGCGCAGCCTCGGAAGCCGTGGAGCGCTGTCGTCACGACAACGCACATCACGGTTGCCTTGGCAACCAGGAGGAGGAGGAGGACGGAGAGGGGCAGAGGATGGAGATGCATGCTGGGTAGGGTGGAAGGATAGAGTAATAAAGAGAGAAGTGTTAAGTAACTTTGATGGAGGAAAATTATCATTATCATTATTATCGTATGTCTTTTATTCATCAGCTGCACGTGATCAACCTGAGGAAAGGTGTCATGTTTTGATATCTTTACATTGTTAGCAAAGAAATCAATATTAAGTAAAGAGAATTAAAATCATTAGGCTTGAAATAACACTGTTGCTGTGAATCAATGACATAAACCTGAATATATACTAAACATTCAGGATGATCTCTAAAAAGGGATAAATGTTTACATATTGACAATCTATCTGTAGAAGATGATCCGTATATAGTTAGGCATTCAGCACGACTCACGCCTCCCTCTAGTGACTATTTTGGCCACTGCAGCCAACAGCACCACTGATTAATACACTGTAAAAAGTATTAATTGGCAAATTTAACAGTCAAAAGTTGTACCTCCAAAAGAAAGAAAGAAAGATTGAATGCAAAACCATGTTAAATCTGACATGGAGGTTACTTCATGTCGTTCTGTTGAAAAGCAGCAGTTTTTCTCATTGTGTTTGAGTTGGAGACGACACAGACCACTCAAACTGCACTGAAACAACTGGAGACGCCTGCAGAACGTCTCACTGACATTAAAATGCTTTCTGCATGAACAGAATGATGTGGAATCCTTACATAAGCACTGGCACTACTCACACCACACTGTTCACTGTGACTATAGGCTATGAAACTAAACTCATTCTATGTAAAATAGCCTATTAACAATAATGTTTGCGACTAAGTCAATTCAAAGTCTGTTCAAATGGACTTTAAGTTGCTAATTTATGTTATTAGTTGCTGTATCTTAATGGACGTTTAATAAAAAAAGATATATCTCACCTTTTCGGCTGAAGATCTTGCAGAGGTTTGAGCTGACTCCTGTGTGTGTGTCTCTCTCTGCTCAAAGAACCAGTGAATGGAACCAATCTGTCCTTGTTATTGTTTTTAGAAGGCCATTGGGGCGGACGGACACTCTGACATCATAGCAATTACAATGAAATACCATTAGAGACCCCAAGCCAGAAATAATGGATACTCCCTGGAAAATACTGATGCTTGTCTATGTTTTCTTAACCTCGGCCTGTATCTCTCTGCATGAGCGTGTGTGTGTGTGTGTGTGTGCAGTTCTTAATCCAACTAGTTGACTCCCAATGATGTCAGGAAGGTCTGCACTTCACTTGACAAAGGACTTGTAAATAAATAAACAGAAGAAAGGCAGTTTTTTCTGGGCAATTTAAAACCTATGAAATCATATAATTATATAAAATGGAGATTGACTATGACTAAAAAAAGCAGCATCATGCAGGTGCTGTGTGGTTGCTTTATCTGAACTGTTCTACTGAGAAAAGCTGCAGGGTTGCAGCAGGAAATGAGGTGGTACCAGAGTCATTTGTGGTATTAATGACAAAACATGCTAAAAGAGGCAAAAATATAAGTCCTAGTTGGGTTCATCATGTAGTCTACATATAAAGATGGACAACACGTCTCCACTTACACTATCCTGAAATTAAGCCAAAATATCCTGGAATTCTAGTCTGTGCCGTAGCGATCAGGGGATAGAGCCACGTTGGCAAAGTCGCACTGATACAATCTCTTGACCAATCATGAGTCAGTCTCAGTTGTCAATCATGATTTCTCACCCTGTTTTTATATCATCAAATAGTTGATTAAAACAAGCTAAAACACTTGAATATCATAATGGGGGGGGGGGGCAGAACTACCTAAAATAAAAAGAAATAAGAAACCTTTATTTGACGTATAATTAGAAATTTGTTTTGGTCCATGTCCCATCCACTGACACGGAGGAGGCTGGGTTAATGAACTATACAGCCGACACCAGGTGGCGATCAAGACAGTTTGGCTTCACTTCTGAGGAGCATTCATGTCATCCAACTTTATATAAGCTGTGTCTCAATTCAGGGGCTGCATCCTTTGTAGGCTGCAAAGACAATTGAGACAGTCTGGTCTACAGAAGACCACTTTGAAAAACAGTTTAAGTTCAATGACCCCTGATCAGGACACTGGACAGGGGAGGATTCACATGTTGGACCCCTCATTTCTCGGGGACAGAAGGACACACTTTAAAGGGGCCTTCAAAAAGGGACGGTTTAGTTGAGCCGCTGTGACGCAATCATCTAGTCTTCAAATACACAACAAGTTTTCTTCTACATTAAGTGATTAATATTGAAGTGATGACATCATGGTTCGGGTTTATACTCAGCTGCAGAGACAAACAAGTGTGACACAATAAAAAGCACAGACTCTCTGAGTGTTTTCTCAAAGTGAAGTTTCATTTTTAGCACATAGTTTTTTTTTCCCCTCCATTCTACACCCCCTGAAATGTTACCTACAGCAGTAAGCCTCTCTACATTCAAACCCCCCCACCACTGTGTTGGTCCCCAAAATATACATCTTCTTCTTCTTCTCCTGCATCGTCCCTAAGCTTTTTCTTCAGCACAACAAACACAGACCGTTGGGCAGACAGTGCAAATCTAGAAATTTAGTGAAATTGCTACGTAATGCGGTTGTAGGTTTTCGGTAACATCACATTTCCATTGTTACTGTTGCTCTGACTTATTGCCATTCTATCGTGTTTAACTTTATGTCTTGTCGTTCCTCTGTCGTTCTCCTCCTCTGCATCTTAATCTTTACTCGCTGCTTTCATTAAATCCAGTCGACTCTCCTCTCTGATTTAAAGTTTTTTAAACCGGGAGGAAATGTCGTCTGATGGCGATGGACGGCCAGAGCTCTCTACGCACCCTCTCTTTTCTCTTGCTTCCTGTTCTGGAGCGGCTCTAAAATGGACGACGGAATTCCAGAACTGAGGAATAGGCCTACTATTGATATCGATATCACTGAGATTTCTAGAACAGTGGGAGCTGGGGTTCATTTTTTCCCCCCACGAGTCAGCAGACTGACTGACAACAATCAAGAGGGTTGGTGAATAAGCTATAGCCAAAAGAAAATAAAACAAGCTCAGTTTAATGACAGTGAGGTCACGTTTTGTCTCTTTTCGGTTGTGTTTTTTTGTAGCTTTTTTTTTTTTATGCCTGAATCAAAACAATTATTGAAATCCAACTAAATGGAAAGGTTGGTTAACGGTGTCTGCAGGTGCAGGTTTGGAGTGAGAATGTGGTTACACCTAATCCATCAGCAAACATCATTGTGGTGCTTAGAGAAAACACCCAAACGGAGGGTTCAGTTGATCTTTCAGACAAATTTATTATATTTTACTGAATTTATTTTTGTATTTGGCACTGCTGGCTTTTTTTAAAGATAATGATTCATCTAAATCCTGGGAATCTGTATCAAATGTGTAAAAAACCTTCAAATTTTAGCTTTTCTCCAGAGCTTTCAATCAAATTGTTTTCATCAGCAGATGGAGTTTGCCCAGTTGTCATGGAGATGGATCAACTCCATCCCCTGATGAGCACCATGTGATAATGAGCTACAGATAAGAGTAAGTGAACCTTGAGTTTTTATATTAATGTTTTCCAAGGTCGACAATTTGAATTTCGCAATATTTGATTTGTAACAAACGTTGTAACCTGCATGATGGATTAAGTACCTGCAAATAGAGTGAAACATTTGAAAATAGCACCCTCTTGTGTATGAGGGCGTGGTGGCAAATTAGGTGTAACCACAGCCGGATATCACCAGAACGAGTCAACCAAACTTAAAACATGCATGACGAGAATTTTTGAACAGCTAAATAAAACTTTGCATGCTGATCTGAGGCCTGCCACTTCAATGGATTTCAAAACCTTGTCGACTCAGGCGTGATGTGAGGTGAGCGTTTTGGAAAAAACTGCTGGTCGGAAAGAGTTTTTGAACGTTTGGTTTATGAAGCAGCCGACGGGCGCCTCTGCGTCTCAGGCGTTAAAAAACAATCAATAGATTAGTTTAACGATACATTCGGATTCGAACCCTGCCCTTTAGGAAGGAGACAAGGTTAGAGATCGTTCTCTTTCGCTCTATCTACGCACATCTCCGGCTTGCCGACTCACTCACTGGTTACACACCAATGCTCACACACACACACACACAAACATACGCACATACACAACCTAACCTTCATCTTCAAATAAGGTTACATTTCCTGATCAAATAGAAAATAAATAGCATCAGTATCAGTTTTCCACAAAATGAACAAGATCATACAAAAACCCAAAAAATAAACAACATAATTACAAAGCAAAAATCATTTTTTTTCATCAAATAAATGTACACAGAAAGTACCTTTAAGACAATGTGAATATCAAGGACGCAACAGGAGTAAAAACGAGTGCGGGGGGTAAACGTGTGAGTGCGACACCCACTTCTTGTTTAACCCCCGAAAAACACAGATTATCCTGAAAGAATGAAAATATTGCTAAAATAATTTTTTTCAAATTTTTTTGGACCCTCTCTCTCATCCCATCACTCTATCATAATAGTCAGACAAGAATAAACAGATTTTTGTTGGTTCACACCGAAAAAGTTATCGTCATCATCATTGTCGCAATCTAGCAGTTTCAGGTCTGCTGAGCCTAAAGGAACAGACGCTCTGGGTTCTGAGATCCAACTGGATTGTGGTGGTTTTCTTTTGGTTTGAGACACGTATCGTGCACGTCATTCATCGTCTGGTGGCCGCTGTGTTGCATGAGACGGGCTGATCTGCTTGGATTCTGTTTGGTTGTATGCTGGGTTGATCTAAACTCAACTCTTAACGAAGACATTCAGAAAAAAAGCGTATTTGTGTACGGAAGCGTAAAAATGAAAGGAGCACGGTGATGTTTTTGACCGGTGTAGGTGCTATGGAGTGATGTTTTTGTGAGTGGGTCCTCCTCCTTTAATTTGTGTCGATGTGATTAACATCTTGATCGACAGTAGGGTGCACTGTTAAACTAGGGTTAAGCTGGATGGATTGGTAAATGTGCACGCCAACTGTCACGTCAACAAGATGTCTCCCCTTTGAGGCGCAGTGATTCAGGGCTGTCGCTACGGAGAAAATATGACCATAGCACCAGAAAAAGGCAAAGAAGAAGAAAAGGAATCACAAATAGAGCAGTTTTGGCACCAGCTTCCTTTCCTCCATCAGGCTTGTGCCCTTCTCTGCCTTGACAAACCAGTTGCCGAGGCTTTTCCACAGTTTCCTGCAGAATGCCATTAATGTCGTTCGCAGTCTCTTGTCTCCAGCTCTATCCATTTAGAGCCAGGTCAAAAAGGTCGGGAGATGCGCTAGCAGCCGAAACGACGCTGTGCACCGAAGGAGATGACGTCATTTCTGGCTCACAACAATCCGCGGGAGGACAAGAACAGACACTGCCCCCATGTAAAGAAAACAAGAATTAAAATGTAATAATCTAAAAAATTGGCTTTACAAGGCCTCACAATGTGATTTGGTAAATAAAACGGTGCCTTTGTTTGGAAGAAAACAGCTTTGAAAAATGTACTGTATTGACCTTTAAATTTGGAAGTTTTGGGGGGGGGGTTTACGCAGGCCACCCACCATACCACCGACATCGAACATTTCAAAATAAAAGAAAAACAGCCACCACAAATCCAGTCGCCTCTTCCCATCTTTAATGTCTGTTAAAGGGGAAGGCCGCTGAATTTCAGCGCTCACATTATGGCCTCGTTCATTTAACATGTGACGTGAGATCAGACTTTGAGCCGGCCTTCCCCCTTCGTGGTATCTGCTACACTAGTGTTTCTCCCTTAATACACTACAGAAATATCCAGAGACATATGTATATATATAAAAACATTATCATCATCATCAGTAGTACTTAGTAGAGTAGAGTAGTAGTAGTAGAGTAACAAGTAAGAAGAAGGAACATTATTGTACTTTATATCATTATCATCATCTTTATCGGTTGGACCTTTTTGTGGGACCCGACAGAACAGGAGCTGAGTTAGCGCCAGAACCAGCTGTGTGAGTCAACATGTACTGTGTGTGTGTGTGAGTGAGATATTTTGGTGCTTGAATCAGTTTGTTTGACCTGGATACACTCTGTAGCTCTATCTCATATTTACAGCAGGTATGTGTGTGTGTGTGTGTGTTTGTGTGTGTGTGTGTGAGAGTGTGTGTGAGAGTGTGTGTGTGTGTGTGTGTGTGAGTGAGAGTGTGTGTAAGTGTCTGTTCTGCGCAGCAACAGTGTTGGGACCTTTGTGTGAAATTGCTTCTTTTGTTTATTAATGTATTGTGCTATCCACGCATGAAATAAGCATCTGTGAGCAAAAGATAAATACGAGGCCACAGTACAGACTCGGTTGGTTAAATGTTGGGACAAGTTAGATGTGTGTTGAAGTCGGTTAGTGTTGCACCAAAAGAGAAATTTCATCTCTTGTTTTGAGGCAGGGTATGAAGCAGGCCAGAGTTTACCGTTTTAAGCACCGACCTGCAGTTTAATAAACCAGCCGTTACCTTTAAATGACGGTCTGCACTTTTGAACGATATTCATCTTTTGATCCGCAACGTAATGTGTGTACAGCAAAAAGTGAACCAGTTTCACACAACTCTGTCCAGAAAGAGGTACGTTTTTATTTTTTTTACCTTGGATCACTGAGCTTGTGCGCTCGATGATGCAAGATAGAAAAACAGAGGATTTGTTTTGTACCTTTCTCTGTCTCCCATCACTAAACACCATCAACTTCACATCTTCTCCCTGCCCCACCCTGACCCCTGTGTTACGCAATCGCCTTAGAGAAGCACCTAGGTGGCGCTCTCCCCGGAAGAGGCCCCGCTGGGTTTGGGCTCGGGTTGGTCGAGGTGGGCCGTCTGCGGGGAAGACGGGGTCGGCGGGTCCCCTCTCTCGCCCCGCTCCTGGAGGTTACGCTGGTTCCGGGCGGCCTCGGTGAGCATCTGCATGCAGCGCTCCTGGTGCTCCTCAAGGCCTCGCCAGAGCTCGGTGCGTTCCCTCTCTCGCTTCATCTCCCTGGAGGAGAGAAAAAGAGAGGGATGAAGAGAGATGTGGTAGGAAGAGAACCTGATGAACAAGCCAAATGATGCATCCAATGACTGTGAGGCAACACATTTAGATTTCTCTCCCTTGACTAGCAGAAGATGTTCAAGAGAAAAAAGGAGAATGAGTTGAAGAGAGAAAATGCTTGGAGAGGAGATTAATAAAAGAAGAAAGGTACAATAATTTAAATATTAGAATTATTTTATAGCCCTTTAAATTAAAGGAATCGTTTGCAACACTCACAAAGGCCTTTTCAACTTTTGATCATTTCAGAGAGACAGACATGTTATAAATAAATCACTGGAATTTCTCGTTTTTTAATGATTTCACAAAAAAATCCAAACCTTAAAGATGTGGGTTGGGCCTTCCACCCTTAAAAACACTGTCACCACAGGTCTTTAGACAGGTGCCTGGGATATGTGATGGATTTTAATTTACAAACCCAAGAGAGCGAGCGAGTAGGTAGAAAGAAAGCACATATGATTGTTTTCAAAATGTGGAACTACTCCTTCATTATTCCCCAGTAGTATCCTCTGTCTTGAGTTTGAACAAGTGGAGTCATGATGTGGTGTGTGTTCAAAAGATGACCTAAGTGATGCATAGTTTACAATATGAAATACAATGTGATGGATAATGGAACAAACACTGTCGAAAGCATGACTTAAGAGCCTCCGGCTTCTGCCTCTTGTTGTCACACTCGCACACAGACGCACAAACACACACTCGTGCACACAAAGTGAGTGAGTCATGCTCACTTCTGTTTCTCCACTTTGTAGGAGGCAGTGAGGTCATCAAACAGCTTGCTGTTCATCTCCATGAAGGTCTTCAGCACATTGTAGATCAGAGACACGATGGTCCTGGAGGGACAGACAGAACATAATCAATCTGATTGGTCGTGTGGCTCATGGGATTGACCAGAATGACCAGAAGCTATGAATGGAGTCATGAGTTGCACTGATGTGTGTGTTTGTGTCCATGTGTGTCACTGACTGGTTCCAGTGCTCCTTGGAGACTCTATAGAGGGTGGCGAACACCAGCGGCAGGATGACTTGACAGTTCTCTTCTATCAGACTGAGGATGTATTCGTTGTTCCAGAAGTAAAGGGCTCGCTCCGCTACCTACACACACACACAGACTTTTTAAAACATTTATATCTATAATATGAATTAAGCTAAACCAATATCAAATGATATAATATAATATCTTAATATCACTGGACTACACTGATGTCCCTGTCTGGGACACTTTAACTTCCCATGGCAAATAACAGACTAACTGTACTTTACACAATCCCTCCCCTAATATTTTTTTATATTATAATTGTGTTTCCTATTTGTATATATTATGCTTGAACAGATATACCACAGCAAATTCCTTGTATGTGTACACCTGCTTGGCAATTAAAAAACGATTCTGAATATAATATAATATATCTAAACAAGGCAAAAAAGAATATAATTCAGTTCAAATTTAAGGGCCAAATCATTACATAACAAGGCCTTCAAATATTATATGATAAAATAACACAATATAATATGATATAATATAACATAATATGGAGGGATTATGTTATCAAGGTTATTAATCCTAAAAGAGTTGAATTTTAACATGAATAATTGATTTGTGTCACTATATAAGTGATCATTTTCTAGAATTTTGACCCATATTTTTAGATAACACTTAATATTCCTGCATGGTCTGAATGCAGACAGGGGTGTATGCAGTGTTAACCTGGAAGTGAGGGCTGGAGATACAGGCTGAGATCTGTTTAAAGAGCGGCTCCTGGACCCTGATGAACTGAGACGGCTCGATCACATCCAGGATCTCCTCGATCTCCCCCAGGAACATCACCTAACACACACCACGCACCAACACCCAATTAATACCACACAATAAAGAAAATAAAGCTGTTACGATGTCCATAGAGATTTATCTCATCAGCTTTCTCACCTCTTTCTGCGTGCAGGTTTTGGGCCAGTACTTGAGCAGCCCTCTGATGATCTGCAGAGATAAAAAGTGTATAACGCTGCAGTGAACTTTACATTTGTGAACTATTCAAAGTGTAAAATGAGCCGTGGTTGATTCAGGGAATCATATGAAGACCGATTGTCAGACAGTAAACAGTGAATTTCTCCAAGCTTTTTTATGGAAACAGTAAAGTTCTGGGCCCCAAAACCAAAAGAATGATCTAAGAAATGTTAAAACGCAGAGTTTATCACTATGAGTGACATCTTTTACCCACTGTTTATATGAAAAAGATCCTTTAGTGCAGCTTTAAAACTTCCATGGAACTTCTATGATATCATCTGACTTTTGTCCAAAAAGCATGACAACAAAAATAAAGTAACAAACCAGAAACAAACAAAGCCGAATTATCATTTGAATTTAATTAGCAAGTGTGTTGTTGCACGGTCATTATGGTAAGGTAATAAAAACCAGTCTTACATATTCAGTGACTGTAGCATCTTTCTCCATAAACTGCACCACACAGTAGGCCAGCTGTAAGGACAGAATAGGTGAGGTTAGAACATGCATACCAGAGCAAACACACACACATTCCCTAAAGCTGTCAAACAGACAATAGGGACCTTAGCAGTTATCCCTCAGGATTACACACTGCTAAAGATCGGAGAGACAAGTTTTCCAATGAGAGATGTGTGTGTGTGTGTGTGTGTGTCTTGTTCTACATCACCTCTTGTCTCCCCTCATATGATCTGCAATCATTTCCGATTATTCTGCGAAAGTGTGTGTGTGTGTGCATGTGTGTTTTGCGGTTGCCCCCTTCGCCCAGGGCCGGTTGCCGTGGCGAGCGGGGCACCGTGGCGACGGAGACTGTGTGTGCGTGTGTTTACTTCGGAAGGAGTGATGTCACACACACAAAGTCCCTCAAGGGCAATGTGAGATAGAGTTTAGACCTTTTGTCTCTGCCTCTGTCTTTTCTCTTCATGCCTATTTATGTCTTGTTACGGACTCTTATATAAATACGATAAATAGGATTATTTGTTATTAAAATAGAAGAACACCGGATTTTTCCAGTTTTCTATTTGCACACAGGACAGGCAGCACATGATGGTTATTGGGAAAATGAGTTTTGTTTGTGTCTCCTTTTTCCTTGACCTGCAGCTCCATCGTCTGTCTCTCTGGCGTTCACATCTTCCACACATCTAATCTTTTTTTTTACCTTCCTAATCCTCTTTCCTTCATACCGTGCACCTTTCTTCGCTGACTACACTCCAGCTGCTCCCTAACTTTCCCGTCCTTCACTCACACCACAACATGATAATGGCGGCAAAGAGACAGAGGGTGCGGAGGGAGCGCTGAAAGCAGGGATGTCAGGCTTGAATAAAAAGTAAAGCAGGAAAAAGGCGAGGATTAAAATCAAGGTGCTGCACGGTCAAACTATTTAAGGCATTAGCGAGGCATTAGAGGAATGGCTCGGGGTAAATATGATGTTGGATTCTGTTGTCAGGACAGGCTTTGTGGGAGCGCGGGGCCGTTGGCTGAGGATAATGGACGCCGTAGTTTTTTTTAAAGGCTGAGATTTAACCAATATTGATTTGTCAAGGTGACAGGTCAAATTAAGCTCTATTTCTGGAGTCATTCTAGAGAGCCTTTTTACAGTTCTTTCACTTTATCAGGTACTGTACAAACACTGAATTATCTTCACTGGATTAACCCTTCACAACCCTAAACAGTGGGAATGACCCGTCGTGATACCAAGTTAGTTCAACTAGTAAAGATGGACGACGCATCTTCACTTCCTCCCACTTTCTAGAAATTCAACCAAAATTAACCCAGATTAAAACACAACCATCTTGAAAACAGAGTATGCACACTATCAATCGCTTGATGGAGTTACAGTATCAAGGCCCCACAGAAGATGTTTTGCCGCTGAAACATTCACGTTTCTGTGACCGAACCCTCAAGATCCCACCAATATACAGGTTTGACCAATCATGAGTCAGTCTCAGCTGTCAATCATGATGTTTTCATCTCGTTTTTATAGCATCATATAACCAATTAATTATTAAACTTAAACAGAAACAGAAATCGATTTGACATGTAGCTACTTTGTCGTTTTAGTCTGGTTTATGTCGCTTTGGCTTTACTTTAGGGGAGGAGTCCTGTTGTCCATCTTTATACACAGTCTATGGTTTTTACCTGGAAAATGAAAACTACCTAGCCTAAAATGCTAAACGTGCATAGAAGTTAGACATTATAAAGAGAAGGGTGCGTTAGCTGTCTTTATTTCGTGGGTCCAGCTGTGGCGTAGGCGAATGGCCAGACTGTCAAAACTCACAGTATGGAGTCGTCCTTAAACCTCAGCACACACGTTACTCTGCTCAAAGTTACCAACGTGCAGAGCCACGGGGTGACATGCAAAAGTGTTAACGGGACCAAGCAACGGAAAAAAAGTTTGTGTGGCAGTTGGAACGAAAATAGCCTAGTGCATACGACAGGGAACATTACACCAATCAAATTAGAGTACCTGGAAAACACTAACCTATGGCATTCTTTCACAGCACAAAAACTCTAATTTCTTTTTAAAAGTAATTACGTACACAAGTTGAAACATTAAGGGTATGTTTGTCAGTTTCTTAGGAAACAAGCAAAAGTTCTATTGCTTTTTGATTTGGCACCATGATTTGTAACCATGTTGTGGCTCCACAGCTCTAACAGCTGTTATTATAATAACGTAATATGAATATAAATGGGAAAACCCTTCACAGGCCACAGGAAGGATGATTCAAGTGTGTTTCACAGCTCTGAGAATCCTTTAAGATTATGAGAAGGTGCGTGTGTGACATTATGTTTGTGATATTTAGATATTAGAAGTGGGTCAGTCCTGTGCAGCCGCACCTACTGAGCGCAGCACTGCTGCTGTCCACGAGCGCCGTTTCCCCCGTGACCCCGTCAAACTGAGCGTGTGTGAGTGTGAATAATGTATGTGTGTGAACCACAGGGAGAGAGAAGCGGAGGAGAAATGTAGGGCACGGTGATGCTGAGACCCAGAATATTCAAACACGCTACCGCCCACAAACACACTACAGACCAGTTTGTGAAGAGCAAACCCTCTGCATAATCAAATACCGTGTGACAGGAATAAAATGCAAGGACACACACACACACACAATAGAGTGGCCACCGTCTGCGTCTGTGCACCATCCCAATCACACATACTCACACACAGAGACACACCAAAGGCACACATTATCTACTTCAAAGACAAATTCATCTTATGCAACATTATCTGACTCAACTCTGCCTCCTAGTGGTGGATGTGACACACTGAAGAAACCACTGACCACCACTGCTGAGATTTTATGTGAATCATATTTTATCACATCATTTCATAAAGACTTCCCTTACATATACACGTTATATTCAAGGCAAATGTTGGCAAACTGTTACATGAAACACAAGAGACACATTCTGAATAGCAGAGTTTGTTGATGCTAATTAGAACCAATCCCCCGGGATAGAAGGTACAGTGCAGGAGCCAATAAAGCCAGTCACACACTACAGCAGGTGGAGGATTGGAGTCTCTAAAGACTTCAGCAAATAATGATAGATACCTGCATTTTTAAAAGCATTTATAAGAGAAGAATATTTTAGGGTTCTATCACTGACCTGTGCATGGAAGATGGAAAGGGACTTTGCCGTGTGTAGTGGGATGAGGACCCGGACCAGGAACTGCTTATGTTCGGCCTTCAGAGGCAGGGCGAAGCCATTTATGATGCTGTGGAGGAGGAGACGAGGCAAGAGGTTACAGTCACAGTCTGGGGTGCATGGATTTCTTTGGTTTTTTTCTGGCAAAAACAAAAATATGAAGTTTTTCACAGTCAACATGACCAAAAACAAAACTAGCACAGAACGCTGCTGTAAGGACCATTACTGGTTCAAGAAAACGTGACCACACCACACAGATTTTAGCCTCGATGCATTGGCTCCCTGTTTTTTGGTTGCATTGATTTTAAGATTTTACATATGACCTGTGTATATCAGGGGTTTTCTAACTTCCCATGAGCCTGCACACCATCTTGAATCAGCTGATAGTCTTCTGGTTGTTCCCAGAGCCGGACTATATAAATCACTTAGTATTATTTATCTATATATAAAACATATTAGATAAAAAAATACAATACGTAACTTTGGCTTCTAGGGGGTCCCTCAATCAGCCAACGATAACAAAATAATGTTTTTAGACATTTTATTTTTTAATCGTTACATATTTTTTCTCTAAAACAGAGAGAAGCGGCAAATTTCACATTTGAGAAGCTGTAAAAAAGTGAATGTTTGACATTTTCACAGAATAAATGCCTTGAATTTAATAGCAAACAAGTTGTTTTGATCGATTCAGGCAACCAATCGATTCATCAATCGACGGTTGCAGCAGGCAATCCAGTTCAGCTGTTAGACAACTGAAAACGAGAATAAACCATGATGTCATCCCTACTGTGACAGATAATATTCTTCTTGCGATCCAACTCTTTTATCTACATCACATTTTACTCCAAAGACTTCACATGTGCATCTGTCTGTGTGTAGGAGTCTATTCTTGTGCTCTTGAGTCCATTTCCAAGTGACTGGACGAATGCGTGGTGTGTTCACTACTCCACTGACTGATATGCAGCCTCCAAGAGGAACAGCAGAGCGGTGGAGGAGTGGGAACTAAACTTGGAAATGATGCCTCTTATTTAGCAGTGAGCTGTTTGTCAGGTTTATGTTTGTGTGTGTGTCTCAGTCGCTCTGACACACAACACACTGTCTGTCGGCCTTCGTTTTCTAACAGCATCTTAATCTGTCTACTAGAACATCCATTCAATCATATTTCTCTCCTGCTGTTCCTCTAATCTGTCTCTGCCTCCATCTCACCACTTTTTCTGAATGCCTCTGTCTTCTTCCTGCCCTCTCTCTCTCTCACTTTTTTGTTCAATGCATCCTCCCTCGCCCATCCCTCTCTCCTTCTCTCCATGTGTGGGAGGAGCTATAAATACCCCTGTTACCACCAACATGAATACAAACCTCTCTCTCTCCCATCCTGCTCTCCCTCCTCCCACCATCCTCCACATCTGACTCACTCACTTTTTCACTCACTCATCCTCTCATCCCTCCATCCCTCCCTCTATTCTCATCCTCTCCACTACCTTCCTCCCTCTTCTCGCCGTTCACCCGTGATTGGTCGGACCTCAAAAGTCGCCGCGCATTTTGTCTATCATTAGCGGCTGAAATGGCAGCGATGGGTTTGAAGAAAAATTGGGGTTTTTGAACAAATCTCTTCGTCCTTTATGTTAGGGTTAGGACGAAAGAGAAACATTATAAATAATTGAAGTTGTGTTATTGAAAAAGCATTCAAAGTACTTCAGTCTAAAGCTGTAATCTCCTGAAATTGCCCTGAGTGGCTGTGGGCGAGAACACAAATGTCGGTTGAGGACATTTTTTTGTACCATTTCCTTCCAGTCCCATGTGAAATGTCAAGAAAATGTCCGAATGAGCCCATGTGAGAATACAGCAAGACGATTTCTGGAAAATTCACAGCGTGCGTGTTGATGACGGTTCCAACACGTGACGGACGCAAAACTGGTCCCATACATATAGAAGATGCCATCAAACTTCAATGTTTACATGCTGGAAACAAAAATGTGCTCCTGCAGGCTCAACTCCCACCCCATGCCTGAATGTTCCAGACATTTTCCTACAGTGAGCGGTCTCCTGGTGCGTTCCACATTTATAAAAGACAAAGTCTGGAAAATGTCCAGACCCAATTTTCCAGCCATTTTGCAGAGTTTATGTCCGAAAACAGCTTCAATCAGTTTGAATTCTTTCTCCTATGTTGAACATGTAGATTATTTAAAAGGCGTTTCTGTCTCATCAGAGTCGAACACTTTGCTTTGTACCTTTCACACTCGCTCATTTACATCCATCCATCTTCTATCTTGTCTCTAAGTAAATAAGCACATTTAATTTCCAGACACTGGGAAACACACAGTGCAACAATCATGTCATGTTTACAATGACCTAACAGGTCACCACTATAGACAATGATATGTACATGTTTCACGGTTTGAACAACTGTAATCACTCACAACAAAAGATATTGACAGATAAAAGTGCTGCATTTGCATCTTCATGCTTTCTGCATGAGCACAGGGAGACAGTGCATGATGCCTCTGTCTCATCAGACTCTAGGACCTCTGCTTAGCAAGTGACACTGAAACCTGATGTCCTGATACAGTCGTGTTGATTTACTATGATGATAAAGGCTACCAGGGTTAAACTCATGTAGTGTAGTATCGTCGTGAACAACCTGTCACAAAAGTATTCATATTTATAGATGTTCGTAAAGAGCTGCAACTTGAAATAGCAGAGAGCCTTGAAGAGATTTATTATACAAAGTTATGGTAAATGGTCTTTATTTATTGGTCTTTTCTAGTCTTGATGACCACTCAAAGCACTTTACAGTACATTTTGCCATTCACCCATCACACGCACTTTTATACAGCGCATCTATGGGCAGCACTTTTTTTATTTCTATGAGGGGCCATTCAGGGTTCAGCATCTTGCCCAAGGACACTTCTGCATGCAAATGTGGAAAACTGGGATCGACCGCTCTACCCCTCAGCCACAGCCACCCTTATCTCCATTATTGTAAACTATAACATTATCAAGAATGTAGCTAACCAAGAACAATGCACACCCACATTCAACATGTGACTGGATATCACCATCATTGTGGAAACTTTTCTTTCTGCTGAGTTTGTCTTGGATTTCTTGGATCAACGATTGCAATTTCGTTGTGTGTGTGTGTGTGTGTGTGTGTGTGTGTGTACCAACCTGCCGAGGATTTCCAGCAGCTCTGCGACTCCGTTGAAGTGCTCAGTTTCATATATGAACCTGAAACATCACACACGTGCAAAGACTTGTGATTATTTATCATTAAATCAAGCATAACACTTTCTGGTCATATAAATAAATGCAGAAAGAGTAAAACATATTCTGTTATGTTTGCATAAAGTGAGCCATGCTCAACCATGTCCTGATACTCCTGTCTATCTAAAGAATTTATCAATTTCCTGTGTAACTTCTGTGAATAGAGAAAAAAAGACATTCGGTCAGACTTGAGGAAATATGCTTGCTCTGCAGGTGTCAGAAGGCACAAACAACGACACCAAAACCAGTGAAGTGAAACATAAAACAGAACGTTTCAGCATTGCAGCTCCCCGTGTTTGATTTAAACTGCAAACACAACAAAAGACAACAGTTCAGCCACACGCTGAAGGAAGGGGCTTGTAAGACACAGCGTTTTTTGTTGGTCGTTTAATGAGATTGTCCCTGCAGGATGATTCAGTTCGCAGCTCAGATGCAGGATGAAGATACGCGTGCAAACATTTATGTGCATGCCGGGCAGTATACAGCTTTCTGTTAGAGAAACATTTCAGATGCAAAGAACCTCAAGTATCAGGCTACATCCATACAAACACGTTTTTGTTTAAAAGTAGTGTCTTCAAACTAAAACAATCTTTGTCCACAAAAGCGTTTTGGAAATGTTTCAGGAGTCAAAACATTCCTGCAGCACAGTCCTGACTTCTAAAGCCCCACAAAGATCAGACTGAATATATGTTCACTACATCACACCACAAAATCACAACCATTCATTTTGGTTTTAGAATTTTGTTTATTGAAATAATTTTGAAACCACTCTGTATTCTAAATGAGGAGCGCACATTTGGTTTGTCATTATCAGCTGTATCAATTATTCATTCTTTGTCTTTGAGTTACCTTGTAAGTTCTCCTTCCTGGTTTAGCCAAGAGGTGCAGCCATGGCTGGAGCCTGGGTAAATACAGCAGCTTGTAAATGGACCGGACCAAGTGCTACATCAGCATGGGGGGGGTCGGGGTTTCTTTTGATGGGTATTGTTGTTTCCTCCTACCCTTTGAAATGGTTCGATCAGCCCTCTTGTCTCATTGAGAGCAGTCCTTTTGAGAATGCCCAGTTTCTAATTTGTTTATTGTGGGTGAAATGAATTGCATCTTTTGAAAAGTCATCCTGTGTACATTCGCCCCAATGCTTGATCCCTGACAAGATATCTAGGAGAAGTCAAGTCTCAGGCTTTTAGTCCAATTCGCTCCTCATCAAGCTATTAGTCACAACAGCTAATGATAGCACTTAATAACCACTGGTGTGAATTTTGTGCTCTTAAGTCTTTAGACGCATTAACCTGAAAAATACATTAGAGAAATCAAAGAGGCAGCATTTCTCCCTGCTACTGTTTGGTTGTTTTATTTTTAAATTGATGTTAAAATGCTTTAAGTGGCACCTTTGAGTCATGCATATTGTATTAATAGACTGCAGCCTGTACCTGAGGAAGATGTTGTTGATTTGTTTGCGGATGTAGGCTCGGAGACCCAGTAGTTTTCCATAGACACGGTGCAGGATGGTCTTTAGGTACTCCCGCTCCCTGGGGTCCTCACTGTCGAACAGCTCCAGGAGCTACACACACACACATACTGGATAATTAAAGACACAACTACACTGCAACTGCATTCATTCTCTAAACTGCTCACGACAACAGCCAGCTCCGAAGCCCAAAGTGATTGGAATATTTGAATATTTGCTGGAGTATCTCTCTCATTTTTCATTACATGGCCATTAGAGATACTGTATATTTTTACCAGCCACACAGCAATAAAGCTCCTCATCTTTTTCTAACATAAGCAGGATATTAAAGATAAATGTTATTCAACAAGCACTGTGGCATCTTTAAATCATTTCTTTACGTGTGGACCCAAATCTGGATACAAGCAAGTAGGTATGTTTCAAATGAGAACTTTGTTTATCTTAGAGCGTGGAAATTCATTTTTCAAGAAGGGAGAAGAGACAGACTCACCTGCAAGACAAACTTCTGGTCGACATAGCGTTTTGCCATGGAGGGCTGGAAGTCTGGGCTCTCCAGGAAACGCAGAAAGAACTCATACACCAGCTAAAGGTTGGAAAAGAAGCAGAAATTACAGTATGTCTATTTGCTTCTTCACATAATTCCTCCTAAAACTACAATAATTATTATTTTTACACTTTAGTTTTCACAAGGCTTAAACTAATGAGATGAAACCTTTGAATCGATGAGCTTTAGAGGGCGCTGCTGAGGTTGTCTTAATGCTATGGACAGATATGAGTGTGGGATCAATCCTCTTATTTAACTCAAGAAAAACACTGGTTGATGAAACAGTTTTGTTTTTATAAAAACTGCTGCTTTAACTGATCCAGTGGAGCTCAGGCTCACAAACAGTGTGTTTATGTGTCGATAGAGGCTGTACGCTGCAATAAAGGCAATGCCTGCTGGGAGTTGTGTGCATCGCACGGCATTGTCGTCCTCCAGAATATAGTATGTAATATATAGTAGGGCCTATTTTTCATGGCACTCAAGGACACGGCATTGTGTTCCTCTAAAATAGCAAATCAAGTGCGTCTCAATGATTCTTCAGAGAGCAATGCCAGAGTCAACACTTGCACCTGTCCTTTGTCCTTTTTCCTCTGTAAAGAAAATGTATGAAATGATGAAAACATATATCACAAAAAGTATTTGCGTGTAATGTACCTGCAGATGAGGCCAGGAAGCTTCCAGTGTCGGCTCATCTTCTTCAGGGTCAAACTCTGGATTCTCGCTGGGTGGGAGAGTCCGGAAGATATTTACAGAGATCTGGAAAACCAGAGCCGAAGAGAGGAGAGGAGAGGAGGGAAGGGTAGAGTGGTGGAGAAAAAGTTTAGCAAGAGCAAAATGTTTTCCTGCTACACTACACTTACACAGTAACTGGCTGCATTGTGAACGTTATTGTTCGTGTTGCTTAGGTTCTATGCGTGTTACTCAAGGATTCCAGCAGACGACAGAACTCAGACGAGACTCACACCGATTTTTCAGCCACTTCCAGATTTTCATCTCATTTCACCTTCATTTCTGAGAATGAGCACAACTTACGCACCGAATGGACGCAGGATGCATGAGGCAGCCGTGGCGCGCATGTGCACTGTGCACAGTAAAAATCAAGTTTATCTCCGCCTCAAGGGGAAATATCAGGTGAATCATGCAAATTGAAGAAGTGCTACAGTTGTGGAAAGTTGGTGGAAGTATTGTATGGATATAACAACACAACTGTCCAATCAAAATGAAGAAACTTTTGCATCTGATTTAAAAAATAAATTTTAAAGACAAAATGTGGTCTGGGCCTTTTGTCGGCCATAATTGATGATGCTATCTCCTCCTTCTATTATTGGTCACCTAATAATCTAAGCTTTTGAAAGCCTTCAACCACACATTTAAACCCCACCCACTCTCCATCCACCCCACCCTGCATCCTATCAGCGTTTTCACATCCTCTGCGAATCATCCTCTTGCTTGCTTACCCTCCTCTCCTCATCTCTTCTTCCTCTCCTCCTCTTTTTACATCCTCTGGGATCTCTGCTGCTCTGTTACTGTCCACACTCTCTACCACATCCCCACTCTATCTTTCCTTCCCTCTCTCCCTCGTCATCTATGCAGCCTCTGCTTCTTAGCACCCTTTGCAAATGTTTTCTCTCTCCTTTTCTTCCTGTCTATCCACTCCTTTCCTTCCTCTCTCTTCTCCTCTCTCACCACCTTTGTTTTTAGCCTCTAGTGACTTCTCTTTGTCCCCATATATCCCTGCTTTCCTCCTCCTCTTCTCCTCTCTTTTCCTGCTATGGTCCGAGCCTCCAGCTGTTGGATTTGATGAGGATTGATTCATGTGTGGAAATATATCTCTGGCTTTCTATATTTCTTCTCCCTCCATCCATTTTGCTATTGATCTATTTACCCATCCTTCATGACCATTGTTTGTCACTGTTTGTCCTCAGATCTCAGTTCACATTTTCTTTTGGATACTTAAGATTTGCCTTATTTCTCTTTCATCCATCCATCCCTAACCTCCCTCCTCCTCCTCGCTCCTACCATCTTTATGGCCTCTGGGTAAAGAGGCTCTATGAGGACACCTCTGCTGGTGGCCACACTCTCCACCAGCTCGTTGAGCGCCGCACGTTTGATCTCCTTCCCCTTCAGGTCGGCCACGCAGTCCAGGAAGTCAAACAGCACGCAGCACTGCTGCAGCTTCTTGCAGAACAGGTCGTGTAGCTCTGCCACCGGGGCGTCTGGACGGTAGAGAAAGAAAGAGAAGGAGGAAAAAGTTAGACAAGGGAGTTAAAGGCGAAACTTAATGGCGTTCCTGAAAGTGAATTGTGTGATAACATAAGCTGGAGTATGTATTCTACAGGCTCGATCTTCTCTCAAAGGTAATGAAGGAAAGAGACTATTACTCCACAAATACATTTGTACACAACCACACACACACAGGGGCGATCATCCATGCAGACATGTTCACACACACCCCAATAGAGGGTTGTGTTGTGTCTCAGTCCTATTACCTGTCAGATTCACTCCCCAGACCTGTTTGTCACAATGAATCAACCTGCTGCCGGCCGTCACATTAAAACCTTGCAGCTCTGAAAACTCCACTTTTCCACAGGTGTAGAGGAAGTAGCCGATATTGAGGCGGCTAACTGAGCTACTACAATGAGTTTTAAATTGAATCCACAGGCCTGAGGGAGTGTGGAACTCAGCAGAACAAAGCACCATGCAAAGTTAAAAAAAAAAACATGTTTAAAAATGAAGTAAACACCATAATAGACATTCACAGGCTTTGACAGCAGCTGAATTGGAATGTATGGTTCTTTTTTATGAAAACCCAGATGACTGATGACTCAGTAGCTAAAAATATCCAGATTTTAGATCCTTATATATATTGTATAAGTGAGATGAATGGGAGGTCGGTAACATAAAGATTTCTGTAGTATATTCATGATAGAAAAATACTGGCCACCCCCACTGGTCAGCATGTTAGTGTGTACTGCACTAAAACGGGTGCAATACTTGAAAGAACTGACACATTTCAAAAGACCCTGGAGAAAATGACACTAAAACTTAGTGGAAAAACACAAAACATGATAAAACACTGCAAACAGATTTAAAACACAGAACAGGCATAGACATGTACAGGAATAAATGGCATGAATAAATTATATTATATCATTTTTTAAAGTAAAACAAGGTCAGCAGTCGTTTTTACAACGCAAAAGTTGGTCCTTTTAATGTGTACAAGGCAGAAGTAAATTATTATTAAGGCTTGTAAACTTGTATTTAATAGTACTAGAAATTTCCATAATAAAGTTGTGCATGGCAGAAGTGAGTGCTTTATTAACTAAATAATAAAATTGTATTATATCTTTACTAGATATGTCCTTGATAAACAGCTGTAAGTGGGGGAAATCTTTGCATGTACACCTTGTAAGAGCTGTCAGAGCAAGACAAGACAAAAGGCACAGAGAGGATATGACGGCTGGGAAACAGTCTAGACTAACTGTGCAGTTGGAAGGAGGATGATCTACGGCTCCCTCAAACACACACACACACACACACACACACACACACACACACACACACACACAGCAGGATGAGGATTAGATTTAACCCTTCTTAACCCCCAGGTGGGAATCAGAGGAGGGGTGAGGAGGGGGTCTGACTGGAGCTCTTCCAGCCCCAGACCCCCTCAACTCTTGTGGGCACACCAGGACCATCTGCTCCCTTTGGCACTGAGCTGCACTACAAAAGGAGGAGGACGGCCCTTTGCTTCATGTGTCACACATTATTTTATATTCCATTAATCATGACTAACTCAAAATGTGAATGCAAAAATACATTTCAATCTTCTATGTTCCTGACCTGCATAAAGTCCCTCTGTGACTGTTCTGTACTTTCCTTTATGTCCATTTTACATCCACTGTTATCTGTCCTTAGTGAGCGACCAGTTCGTTCTTGGATCGCACCCGTTTCTCAGTGACTGGATGATTGTGTGATGGAAAAGTTCTCACTATTTTCTGATTCTGTCGTGAAAAACAAGTGTGAAAAAATGAAGAGGGCGAGCGATTCTGACTTTTTTTGGGAGAATAAATATGACTCTAACTCTGCAGTCCACAAAACCCCTCTGGAGCTGTCTTCTGGCTGGTGGAGATAACTGAAGTCAATCCTGAACCTTCATCTTCACCTCTTCTTTCTATCCTTTTTCACATTCCTTCAATCTCCACCTCCTTTTCCCTTCCTCCCTTTGCCCCTTCCTAATCTATCCATATCCTTTCTATCTCTTCGTCCTCTCCTGTTTTCTCAAAGCTCCCCCATCTCTTCCCCCCCCTCGCTCTGAAGACGGCCTGTGAAGGGGAAATAATCCATTTTTAATGGACAGTAATTGTGTGAAGATGTGCTGTGACCGAAAGAAAAAATAAGAACTGAGTGAGGTGAAAAAGACGAAGGGAAAGATATGTGGATGCAAGTGGAGAGCCAGAGTGAGGGAGGAGGTGAGAAGATAAAGAGAGAGACGGGAGATGAAGGGAAGCAGAGGACTTTGCGGGTCATGTGAGAGCGAGTGTGGGAGAGTGAAGGAAGAGAAAATGAAAGAATCAAACTCAGTCGAGAAACACTGGTTTCCTCTGCTGTTATTAGGTCGACGTGGTTCAGTCCACACTCATTCATTCACAGCTTTTAATATCATGTCAGTGCAGTGACGAGAATATTAACTAAGGCCTTAATCACAGCAAGTGAGTCATTTATAACATCAGAGCTATTTTCAGCTGTCTGACAATCCAAATTGGTATTTTAAATAAGTGCTTGGACAAGATGTAGGCGATAGAATTTAAAGCCTTTGTTTACCTTTGTTTAGTTCACCTTAACGCAGAAGGATTTAAACTTCCATCCTCATGTGGCAAAGTTACACAACCAAGATTGTAAAAGCATGTTAAAGGAGATGGGAGCAGCAACTCGCGCTGAGTTTTAGAAACATAACACATACAACGTAGCACGCAAAACTCACGCAGTGAAAAGACACAATCCCACTCTCTTGTTGTCTGTCTTGTGTAACACTCAGCAGTGCCATGTAATGTCCAACAATGTCATTCAATTTTGGATTTATGAAATAGAGCTGATAGGAAAGAGGCTGAAAATAGTCAGAGGGGAGACAGGTCGCAAAAGCAGTTTAGAAATCTACCTACTGAAGCACTTTGATTTTTATAGACACATCAGAGGAGAGCAGCGTGATATTTTTTTCGAATAAATAAGAAGATATTTAATTGCCAGAATCTAAAGGGAGTTGGGTGAGAAAGTATCTTCCCAAGAGTGAACTGTATCAGAAGCAAATTTTGAGATGATTGGTTTCTACTGATTATGCAAACCCTTTAAAGTGTGTCCTAAATGCATATTTTCTTTTTTTTTTTAAAGATCAGTAGTTTCCTAAAACGGTGAGGCCATGTTATTTGTCACAAACATTACTCAGAGTAAATAGAGCATTTGTTGGTGACTATTTTCAGTGTTTACAGCAGCAGGGTGGTGTGTGTTTATGACTATGTTTTTTGTAATGAAGGGAGTGGATTCAATAAAACAACAATGGGGCTTTATATGGCACAGAGAAATAAACAATATCAGGCTTTGGATACATACCAAAAAATATAGACTAACCCTCACCCTTTAAATAGACAGGGAGAGAGGCCAATAAACAAAAGACAACCTGAACCAAAGAGAGGGAAAAGACAGCATGTGACGTAGAAAAGATGGAGGAGAGGAGAGAAGAGTAGAGGAGGGGATGAGGAGGGGAGAGGAGAGAAGAAGAGAGGAGAAAAGGAGCAGTATAACATACAACTGAGCAATGCCAGCTCCCTGCATCAAAACACAGACGCACACATACAAAGGCACACACACAGCTGCACAATTCTAAATATAGTCCTGCTAGAGAGAGATGGAGAGTGGAGGAGGAAGAAATCCGGGGAGGAAACAGAGGGGAGGCGCGGGGAGCGGTATAGGGTTAAAAGATGACATCATGTGCCTCCTCCTCCTCCTCCTGCTTCTCTCACATCGCTCCATCACAAGGAACCTCCCTTCTTTCTCCTCCCTCCATCTTTCCCTTCCTCTCCTGCCACCCATCCATCTCTCCCAGGGCTTTTTTTTTTTTAAATGAGCTCTTGTCTTTAAATAACAGTTATTCTGTTTGGGGCTGAGTGTGTGACAGAGAGACAGAGAGAGAAAGAGAGAGAAAGAGAGAGAAAGAGAGAGGAGGACAGTTTCTGTTTTAGCTTCCATCCAAAGCCGCCTCTGCACCTCTGTCATTTAGCACACACTGATGTTCAATGCACAGATACAGTGACGCAGAGAGGGACAGGCTGAGGGAGGGGAAAGGGGGAGACAGAGATGGAGAGAGGGATGGAGGCAGATGAAGAAGGCACAGAAGGAGCTATAAGAAATGAGGCACCATGCAGCGTAGAAGTAAGGGTGGTTTAAATATCACCTTGAGGGGTTTGAGTGGCAAACTGCAGGTCCATCTGTAAATTATCTACCCCCCCCCCCCCCACCCCCATTAACACACAATCTATCCACGACATGACAAACTGTCTACGTGCAACACATGATGCATTGCCCTGCTCATAAACAGCATGATTAGAAAGAGGAAAGAGGAGGGATGTTATCACGTGTGATTGACTGCATCCTCCTCCTGCCGCCCGTCTTCATATTTTCACAGAAGTGTAAACAGCAATTTACCCGCTGCGAGAGAACAAGACGAATCGTCCCGCTGCTTTGAATTAGAGCTGGGAAATTCTTAGAAGTAGCCGCTGGCCGATGGTACTGAGAACAGGTAATGAGAGCGGCTGGGTGTCTGCACGTAACATGTACACGGGGTTGAACGTGTTGATTGTTGATCAAGTTGAGAGACTGGAAGGAAACAAGCGGAGACTGGTTGGTGTTCTCTGCTCGGGATGTTCTGATTTGTTTCCTCTTGGTTCCTTTTTCTGTCTGTCGGCAAAAGAGGAGGAGATGTCGCCAAACCAAGAAAAGATTTTTAGGCTATTTGGTGCCAACATCAGCCAAGAAACTTGTCTGGATGTGGACTTTCCACTTTGCTTTAAAAAATAACAAATAAGTCCAAATTCTATGGGATGTTTGCAGGGTCAAAATGAACTTCCTGTAAACTATAGACATCACTGAAATCACATCGTCAAAAGTAGCGTACGACAGATGGTCACTAACCGAGCACCGTATACCACATCTCTACCTTCTC